CAGAAGAAACAAGAGGAGAAATCACGTAGCTCTGCATGTCTTTTCCTCTACTTTTTAGGTAGGGATAGCCGATGTTAAGCCGAATCTTAGAAGAAAAAAAAACACTAGATGGGATGATGAAGTGCTTAAAGTTTTCTTAGATGTACAGAGGTCAAATTTCACGTTGATGATCACCACCTGCAATCGATTGCGAAAGTTTGGCGAAATGCCAAGCAGCCAACAAAACGCCATGCTAACGGGGGCGGATTGGCGCACGATGCGTGCCCGGCTGGGGGCGATTTGGCGCTCTGGCTTCATTGCACCATGTGTGTAGGGGACCAGACGCCGTGGGTCTTTGGTATGAATCGACCGTTCGCCCAGAAAACCTAGGGTTCCTTCGAACTGCCGGATACGTGAAGAGTTTGAACGTGGGACTACGCCCTCATCGAGCGGCGGACGAGTTTGCCGCCATTTCTCTCCGTTTCGTCAGCGCTCGATCGAACGAGAGGTGCTACAGCTGATTGCTTCGGCAAAACCGGAAAACTAGCACAAGTCCATATTTCTACAATGCCTACAGACGACTTGTCTACGTGACCACGCTCTGTCCTGTTGCACCCGCCTCGCATTCATCGTCGTCCGGGCAGACTTCCTCAGTGTTCCACACACTACGTCGCGAAAACTACAACTCAGCGGGTTCGTGACAGAAGCGGTCCACTGTCTCACTTAGGTTTCATGTTTTGAGATAGATTTCTTCTACTGCTACAACATGTGAGATTGAATGGGAACCGGTTGCTTAATGATCTGTGCAAGTAAAGACAGCAGTCGACTTGCGGTTGCTTCCGCTTTTGCAGGCGAGTCGACCGTAGCTCATTTTTGATGGTTTCGGATGCTCCAGTGAAGTGCAGATGATCCAAATGATCACCCCATGGTCACAAACTTGTCCTCTGCTGAACACTCTTTTCGATGATTCTTCTCTCCATACACCTCCATCTGGTTATGTTTTCGCAGTAACTTCAGCCGTGATTTGTTCTTTATGAGATTCTTTGCGAGCTTTGCTATATTACGTCTATGTCGTAGCAACAGGAAGCGCTGCCTTTAAACTCGGAACATATTGCATTAGCTATCCGAATGTGAAAAATTTCCCACTTCTAACTGATTTCATGTTGTGATAAGAAATTCTGAAGCGATTCATACTCGTAGTGGTGCCAGAACACTGTTCTGGATAGTGGTCTCCACGGATTGAGTCAGTCATCGGTCCTCGTCTTAACCCCCCGGCTGTTCGCGACGCAGACCTATAGCTCCTTTCTGTGAAAGTCTTCGTATGGCTTTGCGATACTCTACCAAGAACTCCGTATGTTTCATGATTACTAGGTACGTCATACCTTTCACGCCATACGTTCTTATCTTTCATAGGAAAACTGGTTTCGAACAAAAAGTAACGACTGAACACGTTTATCTCTCAGACATTACTGCGTACCACTTTTTACATCTCTCACAAAACTTGACGAGGTCTCTTTTGAGAAGATTGTGAAATATGAAACATATTCTCTATTTTATTTTATTTTTATCTTATTTGACCCGTCTTCACGTCTACTGTGCGGATCCCAGCACTTCTCATAATCGATTCGTTTCCTTGCGTCCAGTGTCCGTGAAGATATTCCAACCTTTACGTGTGGCTTCGGTAGCTGCTTGTGGATTTCGATTTCATCTTGAATGTCGTAGAATGCTGGTCGAGTAATTATCCCTGGAGTCTTGAGATAGCCGGGCTGGAGCGTGCGCAATTGGGTAACAGAGTGATTTTTTCCCAGACAAGTCCGGTAACAATTTCCTGACCTCGGAGGGATGAGAGGCTTGGTTGACCTGGAGCGGAATTGAACTAGCATGAAGCATACTGCTCTTTGAAATTCGTATTCTCTACTAGCTATTGTACTGTTGCTTTAAAGGCCTCTCTTACTTTTTTCTTAATTTTTTCATCTCTTATTTATTTACACCCAAATGTAAATTCTTTAAGTTAGCTTGCTATCTTTTTCGTACTTGAAAATCAAAACGAAAAGCAGTTTTAAAGGAGCCTTTGAGTACACCTCAACAAGACTTCCAGTGACATTTGGTTCCATTTTTTATCCCAGTGGTTTATCGCCTTAACAGTTGAAGAAGGTGTGGGAGTTTCATGGTGTCGAACTACAATTAAGGCAGAATATTCGTCCTTCAGGCGTGATAACCTAAAATGATGAGCTTGACATGTTGACATGATGTTCGCCGCCACTCCGAACTAAAAACACTGGGAAGGTCGAGGTGAATCCGCTTCCGATCTACGACGGATAGTGGTGACCAGTACGCACAGCTGCCTCAGAATTTCAGGAAGAAGTTGCTCGCAGAGCAGTATTCCAGCTTCAGAAGTTTGCACACTGATGTTCCTGTCCACAACGTCGCACGGTGAGGTGGTCCAATTTCGAGTTGTAAGCGATGTCATTGTAACTGCAGCGAATGGAAACAACTCAGCGACATCTGTCTCTTCGAAATTATGGACAACGATTGCTCGAGAAAGAAACGAGTTGAAGAGAAGGAGTACAGTACTCATAGAAAATCACTGAGTAGAATGGAGAATAGCACACGAATCAAGGGTTTTCGGGGAACTTCTCGCACCTACGTATTTCTTTATCTGTGTATTCTTACGTGGTCATCCTTGGTGAGGATTCAACAAAGATTTACGTTTGACGAAATATCTGAAACCTTACAAGGAGAATATTGAAGCCCGTCTTCGTTTCTATGTTCTTACTAGGTATTCATGTTTCCTGCTTATCCAACGCTCCTTATTTATGCTGCTCTCAAGTGCTCAAGTTTCATTTGTAGACTGTATTATATCTACTAATGGGATGGTTCGTGTTTAAACTGGAACATAGCTTTATATAATATCAACTATATTTCCCTGTTTCTGGGATCTACTTTGGTTTGCTCTTCAAGTGTTAAACATATCCGCGATGTTTAACGTTTTGTTTTCTGCCTTCTATAATTTTCATGGCAGGTTATTAAGCGAAATACAACCACAACGTTGCTGAGATATTTGCAAAACTCTGGACCGCAGGTGTCTATGGTGGGGAACGAACGCGCTATTATCCTTTCCGGGGAGTAACGCGTTCACCACCACACCATACGGGTCCTTTGTTTCGCACGTCTCTCAGCTATTTCTATCGATCTTTTTGCCACAGCAATCACCCGTCAGCGGGGTTAATCTGGGGAGCGCAAATCGGCATAGAACCCAGTTAAGCTATGGCTGTAGTTGAAATCACAATGTTTAACGTTTTGTTTTCTGCCTTCTATAATTTTCATGGCAGGTTATTAAGCGAAATACAACCACAACGTTGCTGAGATATTTGCAAAACTCTGGACCGCGATGTTCGTTCGTTGCGTAGTTACTGGGATGTACCATATCACTCTACGACTCCATGTTTGCTTGTTGACGGAGTGTGGAGAGTGACGATCATTGCCGATCAATCATCGCTAGCATTTACTTATCTTATCAGATGTTCAACAGGTGCATCTCACTTCCACTTTTCATGTTACGTTACCACTCCATGACCTCCACACTTCTCCACACAAACATCGCACTATTTTTTTTTAATAGACTGATTCCCGAACTCTCGAGAAAGTCAGCTAATCATGAGAATTTGTCATTTATTTGGAGTTGAGTCTTGTGAAATGTGTCATGAATTGTTCAGAAAGTTAGAATAGATTGGACAACATTGACCAAAGACTGTCTGTGGATTTCCTCAAATTTCGGAAGAGGTCAAAGTGTGATTAATTTGATAGCATTAGATATGAAGTGCTGTGTTGTTCGGCTTCGAATGTTATATAATGTTCAGGGAAACAACATGTTTAATTGAGTAGTACCCTAAAGTATGAGGGTTAAAACGTTCAGCGTTGACCAATCCTTTAGGCGGTCGACTTCGTCAGCTTCGTAGGCGTGATTGAGTGATACCTGGCCCATACAATGACTTGCGTCCTACCGAAGCTAGTGTTTTTATCCTCCACAACAAATCTGGTACCACAGTCAACCTCGGAGGAATGGAAAACCTTATGAACAAGGAGCGCAGGATCGCACCAGTCGCCTATACAACGTGTATTGCAGGTGACCGCGAGCCAATCTCCTAGTCGCGCCTTGAGTTATACTTTGATGTCTAGTAAGAACTAAAGCGCAGAGTTCACTGTTATGATGAAAGCTATTTAAACCACTGAAAAATTGTTGTGATATCATCTTTGTCGTCATGACATCTATTGATTTATTTATATAATCCGTCACCACGTCTACTGTGCGGATTCTAGCACTTGCGTTCGATTCGTTTTCCTTGAATTCTGCCTTCATAGTGTCCGTGAGACATTTCGCGTGTCGTTTCGGCTGCTGCTCGAGGATTTGGTCTTCTTCATGAATGTCCTAGAATACTGGTTGAGTCGACGATCCTTGCAATCTTGGAGATAACCAAGCTAAAGTGCTCCACGTGTATTGGAGACCGTTGGTGCGGGAATCGAACTAGCTCCTTCACTTTCTAATCGACACCATCACTAACCACTGCGCTATCCCCGTCCTGACACCTACAAATAAATTTTGTAATATATGTTTATAGCTCACATTTTTATTGTGTGCCATTCCGGTGCCTGTTTGTTGCAGAGCTTTTTGCATCATAATAGTTTTCTAGTAATAAAGTTTACAATCGAGTGGTTTGTTAGATGACACACGCTAATCAAATTCTGAGCACACGTCATTCGTATGTACCCCGACTAACAAAAGCGAACTACTCCTCAGCGTGTTGAGAGGAACATGGTTACAAACAGTCAATTCCAAAGGAGTCCCAGTCAAACGGATTTTACAATAGTAATAGAGACCAACCGTTCTTGACCAAACTGCTAGTTTTTGTAAGGTTGTACTCATCTAGTTAATTAGTGTTTCTATCTGTAGCAATACTTTCTACTAGTTTCGATGTGAATCCATACGAAAACTCTTCTTCCAGTAATTTTTTCCAAACGACATGGTTTTAATTGGTAAACGAGTACTGGCTGTCATTTCTGGAGCTTCACGAGGAATCGGCAAGGAAATTGCTGTTCAGATATCGAAACAGGTAGCACCGAATTCAGGTATGATTTATCGTTTTGACGTGTTCGTCTGTGGAAAAGGCTAGTCGACAAGCAACGGAGGCTGTGTTATCATTCGATTAGGTTGAACTGAATTTCCGAAATCTGGAAACAGTTCTAGAAACCAGTCGCATGAATAATGAATTGTTGGATAGACTTTGCCATCAAATTAATTTCTGTTGTCCATACCAATGTACTTCTTCCCTTATCCAAATTCCGACCAAAATGGTAAAATTTCGAGCCGCTTTTCATCCAGTATCAGTTCTTGCTCGATTTTCCTAAACTTGACGTGAGAACAAAATGGAGTTTAAATCTGCATTATATTTTTCTTGAAGTCTCAATAATGTAACAATTTAATACATAAGTCGCAATATGCACTGATATCAATGCGTAAGTAGGAGTTAGAAGATGCTGATGCTTTAGTTTCAGCGCTTTTTTCTTCTCTTTGCTTGTCCTACAACAAAGTTTGTATCCAGTCAATAGCTTATTCAACACAGATTTTGTGCCAGATATGGTCCATAAGAGGCTACTCTCTGTTCTTAATAATTTACAAAAAACCTTTCTCGGACGACTTTTCAATGCACACCATCCTAGAAGTGTTACAAGGTAGCAGCCACAAAAAATTAGAAGCACTGGTGTATATCGCGAATATCCTCAATACTGTCCAGAAATGCGATTTTCGAAAAGATTGACTTCATGTCGTAACTATAGATTTGTACACAATCTAAATGCAAGCCCACTAAGGGTATAGGTGGGGACGCTTGTCAGGTTCTAGGTTTGTTCTGCAACAAATGTCCAAAATGTAGGAAAACTCTTTTTCTTGGGCTAACCTAAGGTGTTATTTTATCCTTTATTCATGAAGAAGTTGACATTTCGGCAGATTTCGCTTCCCTCAGAGCCTGGAAAGGTGAAGTTGACCGTAATCTGCCCTGCCAAACACCTCCTTAACGGCTTATGTCCAATATGAATGAGATCTTGGTTCAGCACTTTCTCTGACTGGTTATGTGTGTTTGCTTAACACGAATATAAAGAATCATGCGATCAACACCGAGGTTATGGAAAGTCGGTAGTGGGAATTACTACGAGGCGTGTAGAGAAACTCTCCAACCAAATCATGTGAAGTTCCAGCACTCTTTCTTTCCAGCTTTCAGTATCATGATTTCTTTGCAGCCTTTCTTCTTACTGCTCGAAATGAAACCGCTCTACTCCAAATAAAGCAGGATATTCTCAATAGGTAACAAGTTTTCGACTAGTAACTAATAAAAGTACAACGATGCTTTCTCTTTTTGTTGTCATTCTATTAAATGCAATGATGTTTCACAAGATCATTTATTACTATTATAAAAATGTTTTATTTTAGTGCCTAAAGGACAGTTACTGTTTTAAAAAACCGATTTCAGCTCAGAAAAAGCTCAAGTGTGGATAGTTGTGTGTGATATGGGATCGTTAAATAGTGATGCAATAAAAACCTTCACAGAAGTGTTGGAAGAGATGATAGGTAAGTTCTCGTAATCACAGTAGAAAATGCTCATGTTTCTAGGACACAGGACATTCCTTTAAGTATCCGAGCAACTTTAAATTCAAAGCAGTACAAATCAATCGGTGTTCAAATAAAAGCCCAAATAAGTTTTCATACGATTTATTTAAGCTTAAAAGTGATATAACCGGGATGACAAACATTTGTTCCGTTCCATACTAAAATCCAATCACGAAATTCATCTTCCAGTTCCTCAGTTCCTCAGTGCTCCAATTCCAGTGTCCGCCTAGCTTCCTTCAAGTGTATCACTTGTTCTCATTTCAATCTCGCTCGTATCCACCCAACTAACATATTGTAAAATAGTTCCCAGGATCGACCCTCTATTAACCTCGGCATTGGAGTATGAATGCGTCGTTTTCTTGTTCAGCAATCGCGAGGTTTTTAAACAGCATACATTTGTTTCCATAGAAAAACACAATACATACAACACTAGCTGACGTTTCGGCAGTATCGCCTTCAGGGCCGCTTTTTACGTGACTTCCAATGAGGAAGGTTGGAACAGCTGATTATAGTCGCATATGGTTGACGACTGCACCATCCCACACCAAAAATCGATGCGAACGTACGGGATCAGGTCGCGTATGACCTCCGGGCATTCATCCCTGCTATTCATTGTAGGGTTTTTGGCATTTATCCAAAAGGCCTCAAGAAGAAGAAAAAGCACAGTAGACTAAAATACCAGCGCGAAAACTTCCTGAGGCTTTTTGGATAAATGCCAAAAACCCTACAATGAATAGCAGGGAGGAATGCCCAGAGGTCATATGCGACCTGATCCCGTACGTTCGCATTGATCTCTGATGTGGGATGGTGCAGTCATCAACCATATGCGACTATAATCAGCTGTTCCAACCTTCCTCATTGGAAGTCACGTAAAAAGCGGCTCTGAAGGCGATACTGCCGAAACGTCAGCTAGTGTTGTATTGTATTATGTTTTTCTATGGAAGTAAATGCATGCTGTTTAAAAACCTCGCGATTGCTGAACAAGAAAACGACACATTCATATCGTTAAATATTACATATTATTACCGTATCTTTGTTGTTGCTATAGACTGTTATAACCCAAACCCGAGGTTGTTCACGGCAGTTACGGAAAAAAGGTTCTGCGTGGCGAATTCATATAAAGTTGAGCATACTACGTACAGTTGGCGGACAAAAGACGAATCCTACCAACTCTCTAATCCACTGGCCAACTAGCACAAATTGTGTGCCGGGTTCGATTTCAGATGTTAGTGCATTGGCCGGGCTCATACGAGGAGTATGAAAGGCTCTTAAAAACTAGCGGAATCCACTAGATATTCGTGACCATTTGTGAGAAAAGAATGATTGAGAATTGAATAAAATGCGGGTTTGGGTTGTTCAATGATCCACGAAACAACTATGAAGCAGATACCACAGATAAGGAAGCCATTGCCATTGCACTTATACATTATGAATTGATAGATTTAAGATAATCTTAACCTTTTTTGTTTGCTGCCTACTATAATTTTTAACGGCGAGGTATATGATGTGAAATACAACTAAGATAATGCTGAGATATTAGCAAAACTCCGGACCGCAGATGTCTGCGGTGGGGAACGAACGCGCTATTGTGCTTTCCGGGGAGTAACGCGTTCACCACCACACCAAGCGGGTGACTGCTGATGGCACCGATCAATAGAACTAGATGAGAAACAGGCGAAACGAAGGACCCGCATGGTGTGGTTGTGAATGCGTTACTCCCCGGAAAGGACAATAGCGCGTTCGTTCCCCACCGAGGACACCTGCGGTCCGGAGTTTTGCTAATATCTCAGCATTATCTTAGATTTAAGATAGTTATAAGTAAATAGTTAGTATAGGACACATGTGATATTATAGAGAATAGGAACTGAAAAAAAAGGAATTGTTATTATAATCTATTCATTTCAAAACTCAGACGATGTTGTGACAAAGTGCAACACTTGTCTTGTCCACAAATTCCGGTCATTGCTACTTGAATGGTTGAAACAATTTCGTTTGTTGTGAAAGGAAATTATACAAATTAATGGTTTTCTGATGGTATTTCGTCATATAGTATCCTTTCACTGGTAGCACATACACATTGTAAACCAGGTTTTGTCATGGTTAAGTCAGTTTCGTTACGCGCATACCACGATCTCTTCCGTTTGATGTTGTTTTAGTACCTTTATGACCTGTAGTCTCGTTAATCGCTGATTGACTCGCGTAGGATCCACTAAAAGCCATTCATCTCGGTATTACATCACAGCTGTTCTATAGGTGCCGAAGCTTAAAAGAGAACCGACTTTTGCATTAAATCACTGCTTTCAGCGTTGGGACCATTCGATAGTGCGTTCATATTTCATAACTGCGGCACTGTGGGTGATGTTTCCAAAAGATGCAGTGCGCTAAGTAATCCGGAACAGTGGCACAACTATCTTAATGTTAATCTCATCGCAATGATCCAATTTAATAATCTGTTGCTGAGTTCAATTACAGAACAGGTGAGTCGTCCAGTAATAATCCAACTGCAAAGCTCATCTGAGGTGCGAAATGACGATGGTACAGCGCGTATTCTGCTCATAGCAGTCAGATACTTAGGTACAGACTAAAAGCTGCAGTACGCCAGAACTCCATTGAGGGTTACTTTTGTAGACTGCCGATTATCGATTCGTTGTAAATATTACCTCCTTATTGGCCATTCAAGGATTTCCATCACTAACACAGGTAAACATTATCAACATGTTACAAAATAACAGACTATAGGATTTAGGAACTCCTTTAACATAATGCGTTAAGAAAGATTGGTTTTAAATGGACTTTTAGATCTTGAAGTTACATGAGAGTCCTAAATTATAAAAGTGGTTCGTTGAACAGAATTCACAAGGAGACAAATTAAACCAGAACAATTTAACATATTTTACCAATATGTCTCAGCTCACAGTGAACGTTATTATCTTCGTTTACCAGAAATAAGTGCTATTTTCCTTGCAGAACTAAAAAATGAAATCCTGATTTCAGATGAGGTGTCTCTTTAATTTTGTTCCCACCAAAGCTCATATTTCGGCCAAAAATGCAGTTGAACAAGGGAATGTTCGTTCAACAAAAGGCTATAGTGTTCCCTAGCGTACTATGGACGTTTACGGCTGCTGCACTAACGTTAAGAATTTTAAGGACTAAAATTTCTATCGGATTTTGAGAATTTTAGTTCTAGAGATATTTGAAATTGAAATAGTTTCCTAAAATTTTAACGCACCGTAGAAGCAATAAAAGAAAGTGTCCTCCATTAGTCCACTGAAGCTTCAATTCCTAAACTAGTATAGTGGTCGAGAAACTGTCGTCAATTGTCGGTTAATCGGCACCGTCACTAATGGGCGTGAGTTGAGATAAACTCTAGTTTTGTCGCCATAGCATCAAAGTAACATTACGTGGAAAACAGCAATAAAAGCAAGCGAAATCGGAACAGTTTTGATTAAACACCAAGAATAAGAATAAGAACTAGCAAAATTGAGAGTACTAACATATTTTTGTAGCGCTAAAGCTTTTGCGCTCCGAGGTTTCATTTTACTAACTAGGAAGTTTTGTTTTCTCAAAAGCTACCCAAAAATCACTTTATCGTATCTCGCACGACCGACTTTCTATTAGTCTCGGCATTGATCAAGTAATTCATAGGTGCTATTATTCTTTATTCACGAATAAGCTGGCGTTTCGGCGGATTTCGCCTTCCTCATAACACTTCGCGTTTGCTCAACAAAAATACGAAGAGTCACTTTATCGTATGTTGCTGTTGACAAGCAAAAATAACGATTTCGTTAGGAACAAAGTAAGAGATTTCTCTACTGCCTTAGTACAAATCAACAAGGCTTAAAAAAAACATTTGGCATGATGTTTCTAAGCCACCACTGGAATTCTATATAGATGCCAATGCAATACAAATTCGGCGTTTAGTTGAATTCTCTGGATTTAATGACTGCGTTTTATTTTCTTATATGATTCTAATACAATAGCTCATGTAAGCGAATATGTATATCTTCCGAAATTACAACTACGACAAAGCCCTTTTGCAGTACTCGGTGGGAAAAGCAGCTCGCGAAGCGTTTTTCCGCGGGCTAGCCGTTGACGACGAGACGATCAAGGTGCTCAGTTATTCGCCTGGACCTGTTGATACGGCAATGCATGACATTATAGCCAAAGAGCAAGTTTCCTTAGACAGTAGTTCCTGATACGCTTCGAAAATATGGTCAAACAATACGTAGTTCAGGTCATTTGATGAGAATATACGAGCGGCCTTCTCTCGACAAAACACAGAGAGCCACGACGTTCATCGTACAACGTTGACAACTACACAGACTGTAGTGAAGATGCTTAAACATCTTGAAGAGAACAAATTTGATAGTGGTTCAAGGATTGACTACTTCGATGATGAAAACTCGTGATATCTGTTGCACGTGATGAACCCGAATGTCACGCATTAACTCTGTCACTCATTAAAGTCTTCGTGCATTGTACAGAATTGCTATCTGCGAAGGTGGTATATTTTAACATAAAAAGGTCTACAAACGTTAGGAATTTTGTAGTACATAAGGGAATGGTGGAAAAAGAAGCAGAAAGAAAGCGAAGAGAACGGAACGGTTTCGTGAAGGAGAGAGGGGACTAGACCAACTGGGAGAGAAGCAAAATGAGAAAGAAAGAAATATTGGGTTGAAAATCGAAGTGAGCAGACACGTGGAAAAATATGATGCTGAGGTAATTTAGCACTAAACATTGTTAATAGAACCTCATAATTATCGAACTTTCATGTCATCCGTTTGTGAGACGACAATTCTTTCAAGCTACTCTACCAGGGTGCATCCTCTAGAACGCAGTTTCATACTTCTCAAGGAAGTGGATGTGTAGATGTGTCAATGGAAATGAATGGATCTGAACAAAAATGAGAGCATCTTTACATCTGGGAGTGTTATATGAGTAAAGACCATTTTTATATGAGTAAGGACCATTTGAGTTCAGAACATGGAAATTGGCTTTTCTGAAACGTTTCACGTAGTGTTGGTAACATCTCTGGTTCAATCACCACGGTTGGGTCAGCGAACTCTTTCTGGTCTTCGAGGTTTGTGAAGTAGCAACAGACCCATTTATGTATGATTACGCGCTATATAGAGAACTTCGCTCATGAAAAGTTCTCTATCTCTCTAAACAACAGTATTTGATGTCGATGCCATGGTCGCCTCGCACTGGCACGCCACATGCCGCTATGTAGCTTTTGTGGTCTAAAATCAGCCGTCCAACTCCTAACTTAAGTTAAGTACCAAAGATTGGTATACGCCAAGAGAACAAAAACGGTGGGTTGAATTCGTGATGTTGCCTAAATACCACCAGTGAGCAACAGAGGTTAGTGACTGGTTGCAGCCAATCCGAATGTCATTCTTCTTCACGAGAACCTTAAAAGAGAAATGTCCTTTCCTAGTCTGGAATGCGAGGAGCACCTGAGCATGGACTTGAGGAGCATTGACTACTCTTGCATGCAAAAGGGTCAAATGTATCAACACTACTTTGACTAACTCAAATCAAGTGACCTCTAAAATGATTACAATTTTCGCACAACCAGAATCCGAACGTGAAATTAAAGTCGTTTTTTTCGACCCATAATACGATAGTTAAAAAAAGAAACTTCTTGGTAAAATTTACTTACATCCTAGTTTTCGATACAGGTTTCGCATTCACAGTGCTCGAACGAAGCATGTTTATCATAGACGAACAACGAATGTCATAAGCTTTATGGTATTCAGAAATTTAAATAAAACTCATGAGCAAAGCATGAGCAAAATTGACCAGTAAATTTCAACAAATTCAAAAAGATATTCGAAAGAAAAAGCAAGCCATAACGATTATGAATCCTGCACCAATAATGGAAATTCTTCAAGTAATCGACTGGGTGAGAACCCATGAGCGGCAATGACGTCACCAAGGATCCATTCTTCCTTACTGATGTATCGACTCCAAAATACAAACGCCTTGTTGTGAGTAGGTAAAATTTTCAACAGATAAGCAAGAATCCCTGCGTAGACGTCGTCATATGGATAGATCTGAACAATGACGATTGGTTGTCATTACGTGCTATCATAATCCCCTATTACCAATAGCGAAAAAAACTGGTGGTCATGATTTTCCAAATAGACTAAGTCTCAAAACATACTGAAATTTTTTATTATAATAGAAAAAATCGTCGCCGGAAATACGAAGTTATGAAGAAACCTGCTGATTTAACGTGAATCATAGCTCCTCATTACTGACAAATCCCCACAAATGGTTTACCGAAATATTACGACGGTGACATTCCCAAGTATCAAAATGCGATATACAGTGAGATGTCCGTCACCCGAACGTCTCTGCTCTGCTCTGCTCTGCTCTGCTCTGCTGAGAAAGAAACAAAATTTTGTTTCGGAAATGCAGCTCAGAGTAGATCTACGACAAGCCAATGCATGGAACGTTAATGCTCACTACTTCATAGCCAAATATAAAGAACCCCATAAGATTAGTGGTGCTTTTCGTGTCCCTTGAACAAGCAGAAGGCAATAGGTCTCTCTGGAGCGCAATGAGATGAAAGACGATTACTAGAGTTATCGATGATGAACGAGACAACTGGTGACAGATGATTAATAAGATAGTCGAACTAAAGAAGAAATGCCGGATAAGAATGAGAGAAACGAACCTTCACTATTTGCATGGCATGATAGAACTGAACAAAAGAATTACGAGATAGTAACACCGCTCCCGCTGTGATGTACGGTGGATACCGATCGAAAGGATACATTGCAAGCGAAACCTGTAAGATTACGAACCATCTCGAATTGATGGGAAAGAAATAGTCATTAGTAAATCTAAACGAACTGCATGTTTGTGAAATCCGAATCTAAATGGTGTAGTGTTGAACATCCATCCTTCGTACAACTGAAACTTAACAAGTTACTAAATTCCTTGCCAGCTTAACATTTTTACTACCTACTAGGTTGAAAGGCGTAACTTGTCAACTCGCTGCAGAACCATTACAACATGTTTCATACCGATTTTAGATTGATCAAAACAAAAAATTTCAACTATTAGCAAAAGTAGAAGAACCGGGTTTCGTTCATGGATCTGAAAATGCGGCATTAACACACCGAGTGATGAAATCTTTTGAAAAACCAAATCTGATTGTTTATAAAAGCGAACAACCAAATCGATCTTTTTTCTGCATTTCAGACAATTGGGGTAGTAATCTTGTCTGTAGCCACACAAACCTGTGAATAGCTCTTAACCTCGTGAAACTTAGTAGTCACTAGTAACAATCTACCAAATATCTCCCACGCACAGACTGCTATCGATGTTACCTCCTTAAACAATCGTAATGGGCACAGAAATATTGTGATGCGATACTTGATAATTGAGCGGTCCATATTCATGAACAAAGTGTGTGGGATACTGTACAATTTCCATCCCAGTGCCACCTATAGCAACTATTCCCAGAATAGTTTCTCTTTCTGTATCTATTTCTACCTTTCTATTACTGCATGTTTCTCAAGTACGGATCATATCCACTGTTTCTCAACTTGCTTAGCAAACGTCGTAGTACGTAAATATTTTTGATCCCATTGATCCCATCTTAAGGAACTTCGATCGCTATAAACACTCTTTGTTATGCAAACCTATTTTTGCAATCTGAACTTGTTGGTTGTTATTACTGTCCAAAAGTCATCATGCGTACAATAACAAGAAAGGCATGCGGATGTTTGCGAGAGCAGTCCTCCGCCAGCTGATCTCTGGTTTTGAGAGGATTTGGAGATGGTATCCGATGAATGTTTTCGGTAAAGATGCTGAACCTGTGTCAAATACCGCCTTCTCCAGAAGCATATAAATAACCTCGTTAATTGCTGTCAGGATTCGCCCGCTTTTTAGATCCATACCGTATTGATCATGTGTGTCACCAATGGAGATTACCGCAGGTGTTAAGTCATACTGCACGTAGTCATTATTGTACATGAACTTCATCACATCATTATTAAATGACAGTTGCGAATTGTACATTGGTTTAGATGAGGATCAGGATTATGATGAGGATACACTGGGCTGATGGGAAGTGTGATCACCTTCACTAGGTCACAATTCCCATCAGCCCAGTGCATCCACACCATAATCCTCACCCTCATCCTCGTGTCAATGTTCATTGTTTATCAGTTGGTCTGTGGTGCGTTGTCAGTAGCGGCGGCTATCCTCAAATGCGTTCTGCCTGCAACGCCATTGGTCGCATGTACCATTCCTCCCACACTGTACGCCATGCGTACAAGCGCGATGGCCGGCCAACTTATGTTATACATGCTCTGCCGCTATAGTCACCTATCAGTTCTCAGTTGCATTACTTATAGCCCAAGTTATCTCTTAGGCAATGGTGGCATCCATCGATACTCAAACTTCGCGTTGCAGACATATCGTTATCCAAGAGCAGCTGCCTGACCGTGTTCAGCAGATGACTCGATCTAGAAACTCGTTAAGCATCACATTGTTGCTTTATGGCTTTCGTGAACAACTTTGGTCATCCGTTCGTTGGTCTTCTGCTGTGCGTTTGACATTCCCAGGAGTTCAGTCGCTAAAAGCTCTTGTCATCTACACGTATTACGTGTTCGCCTCACCTTATCTTTCAATTTGGCCTATAAAACGGTTTCTTTGATCCTAGATGACGAGGATTCTGACGCATACGTTAATGCAGGAAGAATTGTGGAGTCGAAAAGGTGGGCATGGAGTCGGATGTTCACTGCTCTCTTCACTACATTCTCGATGCTCTGTAGAACTCTCCAATCTACTCGCTTCCTCCTGTTCAACTATGGAGCTAAGTCGTTCATCATGTTGATCTCCAGACTTAGAACGATGTAGTATTCCAAGATATTCGTTCCGTTGAGAGTGAATGGAGCATATGAAACCGATTCCGTCCATATGAACATCGTTCTTGTGAGATTTGGTCGAAGATCATTCTTCCCGCAGGTCTTATCAGGGTTAGCAAACATTTGTTCAACCTGGTTAATGCTCGCTGTAATAAGAACGATGCCATTGATTTTCACTCTCATGTTTTCCTCTTCCAATATTTGTATGAAATTCCGCAGCTTGGCAGCAAATAATCTTAGCAAAATATTTTTCACCACTTCATCATACGATCGGTGTTCCCTACACTGGATTCGACTTGATAAGACAACGAACAACCACATCACGAGAATGAATAGCTGTCTAGCTAATCATCTTTCTATTGTAGCTAACCATTTACTCGGATCAACGCGGCTGTGAAGGAGAAGGCGCCTAAACGTTGGCCGAATAGACTTTATTTTACTTACCTCGTATTGGCTCAATAATCCAAAAGGGTATTTTGCGAAATGGCGGCGCCTTAATTAATCAATCTTTTATGTCGACGATAATATCGTTTGTAGAATGGTCATATTTTGGCTGTGAAATTTTTATGTAGCTTATGAAGAATCTTTATACACTAAGTAGAGACATCCTAGCTACCCAGAGCTTACATGACTGCTTTTGTATCAGTCTCTCGCACTCTGGCGATACTTCAGTGAGTCTTGCCATTGTGTGCATATGGTCCATAACATTGAGTACTTTTCAAAACCTTGCTTGCTCACATGGATGTCTTTTGTCCAGTATTCCGCAAGTCCTATTTAGACCTGGAGTGGGAGGTTAGCGACGAGAAAGAAATCACATTCGACAATAGTTGCCGGTTTTTTGGAGTTCACCTTTCTTAAACAACAACGCAGTATTTGTGGCCTTTCAATGAATAGGAACCTTACGTTATGGAGGCTGCATGTGAAAAGCTTGACATGCTGTTGATGACAACTGGTGGAAGGTTCTTTCAGGTGTTCAGGTCTCGTCGGCTCCGAACCTGGATGTCGTTCGGTTCTTTAACGACATATCATGCACCTGCCTCACAGTTTGCTGGAAAGGAATTCTGCAATATCTTTTTAACAATTGTTCTTTTTCGTCTGACAGTCCGGCACTGAAGAAGCAGCTGCTAGTAGCTGCAGGCATTTTTCAGCAACTGCCGTTCAAATCTGCTTTTTGTATAAGCTACTGCACCGACCAACATTCTGTGCAAACAGCCCTGTCAGATTGTACTAACTGAGGAACGTTCTAGAATATCCCTCCCAACACCGTCTCTAGTTCCTTCTGTCAAATCCTGCCTATTACAGGAGGAATACAGAAAGCATTATTACTCATCCGCGGAGGTTTCCGCCCAGCGTTTCACTCGTGTTCCGCTCACCAATACTCAGTCTGTTCGCTCAACTAGACGTCTTCGGATTGTTAATATTGTGTCATTATTATTGCTATTAACGATTACAACTCTGTTTGAGAATATGGCAACAACAAAAAGTCCTGCTTGACAAATTCGTATAAAGCCTATCAATCTACTTCTATCTAGTAATTATTCTGTGCCGAAGAATGAATCGAAGATCTACATTCCACTGCACCAACTAATACACCTCTATTGAAGACCCATTAAAGTCACCGTGCATCGTAGGTACAGAGCGCCACCTTAGTCATACGAGATTTAGGAGGCCTAGAATCGCCCTCAGATTTTATCAACCATTCCGGCTCGATGTGCTCACTGCTGCCTTGCCAGTCTCTTCCACAGTAAACGAGGAGCTCATTTGTTGGAGGTGACACCTAACCTCAAAAACGGAACGTAGGTGTCAAGTCCGCGTAGACGAAAAAAAGAACCTTAGGTGGTCTCATGAAGCATAAGGTTGTTTTTGGTCCGCGGTTGACCCCTATCAGCCATTTGGAGATGCGCCACGTTGCCTCGCGACTAATCGGCATGAGATTCCTCTATAAAAAAGCCCAATTTCCATACGACATTAATTTCCGGTTAGGCAGGACATAGTCCTTTGGATTCTCGAAACAGATGTCCTAGGGGTTCCTTAGATTTTCACGGGTTGTAGACGGCTCTTTACTCATTACCAATTCCATAAATATATCGAACTTCCCATGACCGACTTTCTGTTAACCTCGGCATTAATTGATAATTCAATGTTTTTCATCAATAAGCAGACACGAGGTTGTTAATATAGAATTTATTAGAACACAATTGCTGACGTTTCGGCGGTTTCGCCTTCTTCAGAGCCTGGAAGGTCAAATTGAGATGTGATCTACTCAGCCAAACACTTTCATAACCTTAGCAGATAGAACTTGATAAATCGATTTTCATTCGCATAAGAAACAGCTTCATTCAAACACCTACCGTTTATTTGTTGTAAGTATTTAAGTTAGTTGGTGGATAGCCGCCGCACAGAGTAATACATGGTCGATAACTGGGTCCATGTCAGGTCATTGGATCAGCCTGAGGTATGGCGCCAGGTCACGCGTGATGACAAGACACTCCTCCTTGCGGTTCATTTTTGAATTTTTGGCATTGATCCAAAAGGCTTCAAGAGTTTTACGCGCTGATGTTTTCGATTCCTGCGTAAGGATAGTGACTCCTACCTCAAAATCTTCTCCGTTGTGATTCTGCATCCTATGCGCACCTAGTGGAGTGTTTGGTTTTAATTTAGATTTACCGACTAGGTGTTCTCTTATGCGGACGCAGAGCGGTCTACCCGTTTCGCCAACGTATTCGCCCCCGCAGGCTTTACAAGAGATCAGATAAACGGAAACCGTTCAAAGAAGATAGCGCCTAGCCCTCGTTGATGAAGAAAACTAGCAATGGGAGGAACGTTTTTTTCTATTGTCCAAAATTTAAGTGGATACGGTTTTTCTTTCCACACAGTCACCTGAACGCGTTTTGTCAACGAGGACGTACGACATCGAATTGATCGCCGATTGAGGAAGCCACATCACAAGTGTTATGCTTGAGTGAGCGTTCAGTGAATATGCAAAACGACTAGAGCAAATATGAGAGTATCAGTAACTAAAACCAATACCAGGACGGTGGCCTGGCCTGGTATTGGTTTTAGTTATAATTGACACTCTTAGTAATGCCATCATTCATCACCCATGGGAAAAAGATTTTTTTCCAGTTGCATGCGAAGCGTTGAACGTCAAATATTGCCAACGCTTCAATTGATACTGTTATAATGTTTATTTACTAGTCCAGATTGGAACACATCCCAAAGTGAAATTTAATAATCTAAATTAGAGAAAGTAAGCAGTGTTGACTGGTATTAGCAAAAAATCAATAAACTCGATGTGTCCATGAAAAATTCGGAAACAAAATCCAAAAAACTTATCGAAAAAATTTTCAAAACCTCAATCTTCGAGGATTAAAAGTTGTAAAATCACCGTAAATTATGATAAACAACAAAATGAAGAAAAACCTGCCGGCTTTGAAAAATCTTTTTTGGATAGAAGTAGAAGCAGACTGACGACGTTCACCATGTAGTCGTCGTCCACGAGAAATAGAAAGTTGGGCGATGCACACTTGCTCCCACGATGGTAAGCATAACCTATGGAGTGAAGAAACTGCAATATTCACAACCTAAGGCATGAATAAACGCATGATGATATTCTGCAGCTATACATTTGTTAAGGGGCGCGTGTAACGCAGTAGTTGGAGGCGCCATTGCAACAAACACGTGGGATCGATCCCCGCGCCCATGGTCCACCAAGCCTTCCATCCCTCCGGGGTCAGCAAATTGGTACCAGACTTGTCTGGGAGGGTAGCAGCACTGGTTCGATACATTGGTAGCCACCGCGAGCCATACTAAAAGCCAGATATGCATTCAATCACGTCTAACGATGGTTAATGAAGACCAAGGCATGGAGCATTCCTCAGGCATTGATCAACGCCGAGAGCTTTGTCATTTTTTATACATGTACTTTAAGAAAACAGTTTAAAACCAACAGCTCTCTTTTTCCAAATTTGCAAAGATATCAAGAGCAGAACAAAGTCTGCGGGGATAGCAGGAATTGTGTTATTCAAATACGGATTAAATATTAACTGTTAGTAATAACGGATTACAAAATGACTGCTGTCCAGCACTCAAAAGTTTAGGCAACAATTATAACTGATAAAGGAGAAAACGTTCAACGCTATTTCCTAGCGATGAACCAAGTAATCTGCCATCCTAAGCAACGTAATTATAACCTGTTATGGCCTACAAATGTATCAAATTAGTGTCAGCAAACTCAAAAAACAGAAAGACAGAGCATGAATGGTGTTGCAAAGCACTTTTATAAGGAAAAGGATAAAGCTCTTGGTATTAATTTATCGCTGAGGCAGCGCCATGCTGCATTCGACTTTATTAAGCATCTTTGGAGGTGACTGAATGTGTATCTGACCTTTAGAATGACTCGCGGTGACCTACCGATGTAGCGGACCAGTGCTGCTATCATCGCAGACAAGCCTGGTACCAATTTGCCGACCACGGAGGAATAGAAGGCTAGGTGGACCAAAGGCGTGAGGATCGATCCCAAGTGTATTGCATGGCGTTTCAGACCACTGCGCTACACGCACCTAAATATAGCATCAACTTCAAAAATGTCTACTACATTCGATTGAGGAACAAGCCTACTGAGAGTAAGAATTTCGACAACACTGTCTACAGTGCACTAGAATTTAATGACCAGACATTCATTTAGCTTAAATTCGTTAAACTCATTATCGCCGTTAAGAAATTAGTCCTAATAACATGAAATTTTCATCGCACCTTAAGAGTATTGTTCCTATATGTGTCAATCACATCGACGTACAGCAAGTCGCCGTGCTCTTGTATTTCATCAAGCACGATCTTGTCATTGATAACATCGGCATCGTTATTTTTCCCAACAATAAAAACGACTTCAACAGCACTCCGAATTCTGTGAGTAGCCCATGTCCGTCGGATAGCGTCACGTGCCTGAAACTTGATTTGTAATTGTAGCAAGAAGTGAGACTCCAGCAGTTACCAGTAATATTAAACTGACACCGGCCTAAACAAGAAAATGTACGGAAACTATAAAAATAAGACAAATCACAACTACAGACTATAAAGGGCAATCCAGTGATAATACAAATGGTCTTCTACATTCCGCGTGTACCGCAGTACTTGTAGACGCCCTACAATACACATGAGATCGATTCTCGCGCCCCAGACCCACCAAGCCTTCCATTCTTCCACGGCCGTTAAATTGGTATCGGATTTGTCTGGAAGACAGGTGTACTAGCTCGATACATCGGTAGGCCACCGCGAGTTATTTTAAAGGCCAGCTATGCATTCAGTCACCTTCAACGGTGTTTAATGAAGTCGAATGCATGGCGCACCGCTCAGGAATTGATCAACGCCAAGAAGTTCATCCTTTTTTTATCCTTCTATATGATCGTAATTCCGAACAGATAGCATGAATCAAAGAATTACATCTATAACGAATCTCGTTTACTTCATTTTACTTCTGTAAAACGTGTTAGATGTAATAACCGAAAAATGCAGATTTATGATAGCACTACGATGAAAGAGAAATAAAATATACCTTCTTATTTCGAAACGCCGATTTGACAATGATAAGTAGCTCCAACGTATGATTCCACATCTGACACTTCGGCTCTTTTATAGTTCGGAACAAGTTTGTGTTATTGGCGCGGGACCATCTAGCTGGCTCACCAGCTACGGCTCGATTCGTCTAAATCACAAGTTGTTGGAAGGCAGTGAATAATGTACAAATTCACGTTATAGCCAACTAGTTTAGCTTTAAGGAAAGAGTAAGTAGCAGCATTTAAGCTGAAAACCTCGGCTAAAATATCAATTTCGTAAGGCGGCCACTTGAACTCCCGAAAACTGGTTTCGTAGAGATGGTCGAACAGCCCGCAGATCCATACGGAAGTCAGAAGTAGAACGAAAGCCGTCAGAATACTTCGACACAGCAATGATTTCAAAACACGTATAGCGTGCATTCAAGGTAGTGTTACCTAGAGAATGATATCGTAAATGTTAAATCAGGTGAAAAGAAGCCTCAGTCGTACCTTGAAGAAATGCGAACTGCCTTCGCAGCCAAACCTAAAATGTATGAACTAGCCAATTGAGAGATCCTGATGGATACATCGCCTAGCAGATAGTACAACATTTCCAAGGTATATTATAACAGTCCCACTTTTCTACTTTTGTGTATCTTTCCCACTCTTTTCTGTTTCCCTCTTCATTCTTTTTTCTTCCATACAACCATCTTTCACAAATGAGAATGGCATAACAACGCATAAAATATGGACACCTTTTTTCTTATTTTATCTTATACGACCCGTTTTCACCTTTACTTTGTGGATCCCAGCGCTTCTCACATTCGATTGGTCTCCTCGCATCCACCACTTTTAGTCTTAGAATGTTGGTCGACTCGATTCTCTCTGGAGTCCTATGATAGCTACGGTTGAAGGTTCCCAATTGGATTGCAGAGAGCGATTTCTTCCCAGACAAGACCGGTACCAATTTTCCGACCCCGAAAGGATTAATGGGCTGGGGCGGCATCGAGCCAGCATCATGCTCGTGATGATCGGCGTCACTACCATTGTGGTATCCACCCCCTATATACGGACACTATGCTCGCAAAATTTGATACCTCTACCTTCAACTGAACATGACCCTACCGTGTCAATACGTATGGGTGGTTTTGTACGGATTTATCTTTGCTTGGTAAGAATGAGAAAGAAACCTACGATTATGTTGCTTTTGAAGTATTACATCCAATGAAAATAACACACCTAGTAGGAGAATGAATAAGACCAAAAGACTAGGTTGAACAACACACTGGCTTTCCAGCTGTTACAATAGAATTAGGACACGTTGGAAACCATGTTCTTCAAATGGTGAGCAGCACTATGCGATGCGTAAACGATGCTACTACAATAAAGCATACTTAGGTATTAATATTCTCTTTGCAAGAAATGAAAGGTACCGCTGAAGCGATTGAACACATAAACCTTTATTGGAAAACCCTGACTTTATTATTAAATAGAACATGCGATATACTCCCAGAGCTTTCCATATAATGTTAACAACTTTCTTCATCGAACCACAAACAAGGAGAAAAGCACGAATATCTCCTGTTAGTTATTAAAACTCCATAAATAAGTACACTGTTGAAAAATCACATCACTTCGGTAAATATGTTCTGTACCGGTATATGGGACTGAATGTACACGGAAACAATCCTAGTTCATATCACTTTCACCGCGGCCTGCGATTCCACAGGTGAACCTGGAGACGACACCACAGGTGAAATCATTTCTGTTTCTTCACCTTCTTCTGGCAACGAAACTGGGCTCGATAGCTGCCAATTTCGCCAACCAACTAGTTCTAAACATTAAAAAAATCCTTCTGGTCCACATGGAAGCAGAACCAAGAGATTCCCTATAAACCTATATAAGGCAAAACAATCTTTACGAGATTTCAATTATCAAAATCTACGGGAAAACAGAAAATTCACTGCATCAAATTAAACACAACACTAGAAGTCCACGGTGCTAATAACTGATTCGACATGCTGCCATAGGTCTAGCCAAAACTATTCACTAAGCAACTCACCACTTTCCATGAGTTCGATAGAGTTCAAGAACTGGTTTCCATGAAACCCTCCGACAGCATAGATCACATTACCAGCCGTCACTACCGCATGCGTATTCGCCCTGAAATTTCGTAGTGATAACGACTGTAGAATTACTGTGCTTAACAATATCAATGAAGAATGTACCCTACCAAAGACGTACCAAAAATAGATAAGTTTTGACTAAGACTTCAAAATTCTTCACAATTATTCAACTAAAAGATACTCGTTTTCCAACGTTGGGGACCAGTTTTTAGAGGTACTTTGCAATCAAAATCTCTCCAGTCAATTAGACAAAAACTATGCAAAAGTATGGCCAACTGTAACTATAATCTCTTTGTAAAGTGAGATTTGATTACAGGATATGGTACCTAGGCATTGTGAGGGGTGGACCGGGGCGCCAGGAGGCCGCCGGATGATCGAGCACTTCAACAGATGAGAGCGACTGTTGCCCGTCGTGGCCACCAATCACGTACAGCATGTCTGTAGGAGACGATTTGCAAAGACTCAGAGTTATGCTAGATAGAGCTAGTCTGATTATGCCACCTCATAGATAAAATGTTTAGGAAGCAGCAAACTTCGTTCACTGAAAAGAAACATCCAAACATCTTATCTATGACGGAACGATTGAAATAGATAAGGTCATGTATATTAGAGAAACTGCATAATATTACATGACATTAAACAATGTACATATACAACACTGCTTCCTTAAAGCTCTTTAAATTTGCAGTCAGAGATAAGAAATCGCATGTGCCCTCGATAGTGAGTGGGTTCCTATTGGACCTAGAAAAGAAAACTGCTGCCCAAGCATAAACAGACATTCTCCATCAATTCTTCAATATCAAACCCACAGAGCTAAGGGATATTAGGAAATTATAAATAAACATACAACAGGAGAAAATTATGTAGATTCTATGTGAATCATCGGAAAGCTTAGTCAAATAGTCTTGACTCAAGCAAATCAATTAGCTTTTCAATAAATTGGTCCAGATCTAAATACTCAAAAGAGAGACAGAGAGAGAGAGAGAGAGGGAGGGAGAGAGAGAGAGAGAGAGAGAGTAGAGCGAAACAATTCCATCATTCAGTGGAAATTATTCAATGCAAATCATTGATGCCGTGAAGAAGTAACATGGAGCGCTGTAACCCACAATATTCTTGTTAGACGAGATCCTTACAAGCAAAGGTCCCCACAAACTCGAAACCTCCGAAACACTACTTTGTACTATGGCCTCTCATCATCATTTGCAGATAAAGATTCAATTTAGATACAAGTTAGAGGAATAGCTGTCATCATCCGACAGAAAAAACCCGCACGTGATGGAAATATGTGGGACAAGAATAACTTACATGTCCAGAAAATTGACAAAAACCCGACCAGAGACAAGAAGTTTGTTAACACATGACGCCCGAGACTGAGAGTACAAGAAATCGGGTGCAAAAATAATGGCCGCTTCCGAGTTTAAAGCAGTATTTCTGTTCATATAGAGAAGTTCATTATTTGAAACAAGAACCTTGAATAGTCTGCAAGTCTTTACAAGGTACAAGGTTTTCCTATTCTACTATGACGAAATCTTGATTTCCTCTACCCCATGAAATGTTCGTTTCCTCTCTTTTTTTTTCATAAAAATTTGTTTTAAGAACAGATAAACAGTTGAACAGTTGGAATTTAGTCCAAAACGAAACAATGATGTTTTCTAGTGTACATATGTTTCACACTTACGGCTATCCAGTTTACGTCGAAAATTTTTAAAAAATTTGCTCCCACTTTTTTTATAACTTTAGTCCCGGAAGCATCTAAAATTTAATATTTTAAGAGACTGCACGTACGAGTAAAGGAATACAGTAGAGCTTATTCTATAAGCATATGAAGTTCCCAACTCAAATATCCTGGTAATCGAGAAAACTGCGTTATTTGTCGAAAAACCAGCTTCGAGCGTGTTAAAGCACTTTTTAGAAGAAAAGAATGACAAATCTATTCCACAGCTAAACGAATCTAGACAGCCTCTCTACAATTGGCAAGACTTGTTTGATAAAAGAATGAGTTGATGTTTAGTGACAATCTACAATGTCTTGCACGACTGGTAGAAAACGCTATCCTCAAACAATCAAAGGATTTCCAGTGAACTCTACCGATACAGCGTTCATATATCTTGTAAAATCGAAACGGTAACTCTAACTATAAGAATCGAAAGAAAGGGTTCAGTGGAGAGACAGCAATCAAAGATTCTTCATAGATTACTATGCGTATCTCCCTCTAGCACAACCTCAACCAGGTCGATAGCTTTGCAAATCTCTCAATAAACCCTACAAGATCGCTTCTGGAAATGCAGTCGGTAGATGAATTGATCCAAAAGCAAAAATTACAGAGTCACCTTGCACGAAGTAAAGCAGCCATATATAACCATATGTAGAGAATCACTATGAAATGAAACAAAGGAAAATTGTCCTGGACGAAAACGAGTCGTGAATACCAGTGTTCTAATCATAGAGGTAAATAAGCCATATTTTGGAATATTTCAATAACAAACCGTAATATTACGATAGCTTAAGGTAAATAATAAGAGGCTACATCGACTTTGGTAATACTTGGAATACCAAAAAAATCGGAGAACAAGTAATATTTTGTAAGACGAGTATGAAGAGCAAATATAGGATAAAGAACTACCTCTAATAACAGCTACAGCACACCCACGACGTGCTGTGCGCATCTTCGCCAACATACGCCAAGAATTTGTCTTCGGATCATATGCTTCAACTGTGTCCATGCAATTCCACCTATGGCAGATATAGCTCGAATAGTGTAGATCGTATGAAGTCCACAACACTTTTGAGCGTGTATTAATGGGTTTCAGGTAGACAAACCTATCACAGCCACCACAGGCAACCACCAATCCACGCCATGCACATACACCGGCCTGATAACGCGCTAATTCCATAGGTGCGATCGGCTCCCAAACCTTGAAAAGTACCTCTTGTAGCATGAGACGGTGATATTTTGGAGTTTTTTGAACTCTAGTGCACTATAAATTAAAAATTCGATAAAAATAAACTGTTGCTAACTACTGTGCTTACTCATCTAGACACCAAAAATGAATCACTATTAACTAAATAAAAACCATGCCTGCTGTGATTCACTAAACCTCTCACAGTCTCTCAAAACTTGCTGGTCTGATGAGCCACCTATACAGTATATGAAACCATCCAGAGCAGCACAACCTTAAATTAAATCTCCATGAAATGAATAGATAAGTGTAACACGTGGCACTAAATGTATGGATACGAAACCGCAGTCGTGGTTACCATTGTGGCTTCGAGGCTTGCTGAGTGACGGAATCGAGGCCCACTGATTCAGCTTAGGATCAAATACCTCAGCTGTCTTTAGATCGTTATTACCATTACTCCCAGCAACTGCATACACCTAAATGTGACAAGAAAGTTAGATTTCAAGTTTCAATTTTTAACTTTAAAAATCTATGGACATTAGAACCACAATTGGAATTACAACGCATCAAATCCCAGTAATGATCTGTTCCGGTGCCACATAGACAAAATTGCGAGGATACATCTCACTAAGTGGTTTACCATCGCAGTGTCCATATTTTTACAATGGATCAGGTCATCGGTTTCTTTGTACGAAGTGAATATATCTGCATTAAACAAAGAATAAGAATGAAAGAATTGTTTCAGTGCATGAACAGAAAAAACAAGCCATGTACAATAAATCTTTCCTCGACCAGGTTATATCCAAATACAACAGTTGCCAAAGAGACGACTAAGATGAAATGATTATGAAGTTTTGTTGAAATGTCCCCGAACACATACATAGCAAAAGTTTCTTGAACCAAAGGCAAGCGCTAAAAGTTTATCAGACGAAACTACAGACCTTCTGGAAAACAGAAGACATTTGAGTCTGTTGCAATTATAAATACATGGAACAGGAATGCGTTATTTCCTCATTTCCAAGAAGGCAGTATATATAGTAGGATCTTTACAAATAGTGAAAGACTAGAATTCTGCAGAGCGCAAATAAATGAAGGCGTGAATAGAAGACCACGACATATTCGAGAATAAAAACATTCTGGACAATGCTCTGGTCGAAGAATGATGATCAAGAATTTGTTGGTGCATAGCAGAATCAATAACAGAGAGATTCTACATAAATATAAACGGATCTACAGACATCAGTACTATATGGTATCACCCTAATGGGATAACATAACCCACGACTCCTTTCGCAGAAGTTCGAGCTATAACTAGGAACTTGAAGCCCACCCCAATTTTTGGACCACAAAATGTTTCTGCTGATCATATACGAGATTATCATTAAACTCTACGAAATACGACGTTATACCTGGAAACAGAACGGAGATACGACCAATAGAAGACATCGAACACCACCATCTAGCACAAAAAGTTTAGAAGAAATAACCTTTGCCACTACCGCATGATCAACCTGTTGAGTGTCGTCTATAAGTTTTTCAAGAAGATCATTCTTCTGACGAGACATATGAGCTAACCTATGCATTCATATATTACATCAACTAATGAGTTACTGAAGAACTTAGTCTAAGTTCAGTTTATAGAACAAGCTGGATTTTATAAGAAATTTAACTGCATGGACCGCAGCTCATCTACTTCTTATGCGAAATTTCCTTGACTAAGACAAGGTATTTGACAGTGTGGAAACTAACGCTACTTTGTCCGTTAATCTATGCATACAATGAAGCGAGACAATATCACCAAGGCTACACACTTTCGTGCTGAGTGGAGCCTGAAGTCCGAACTGAATGGTAAAAGGATAAATATTAATAGACTATTCCTCTCCAATATTCGCTTTGCCATACATTGCCCTATCTTCGATCAAATCCAAAGAAGCAAGAATAAGCTCAACGAAACACGAGCAAAATCGAATATGAATCAGTCAGAAGAACAACCAAATTCTAATTCATGAAGAACGACTAGTATATATAGGTAAAGATTGCCCTGAATGGATCACCAATAGAGGATAACATATTATATGTTCGCCTGGAATTAACAGATATGGACAACGGCTTCGGAAGGAAGTTGATAGGAAACATAGAGCAGTATGAAGAGTTACCAATCAGTGCATTAATTTCGACATAAGGTTCACATACTTGACAAAACAGTTCACCTCGCGCGCCATGTAGCAAAATATCGCCTGATAATTCAGCTACATCGAGGTGGGATGTAATAAACAGGTTAATTAAAAACGTCTGAGTGATGTCATCTGAAGATGAACAGGAGCTAAATACGGCTCCCACAGTTCCGATATTCGAAGAATACTATGTTTTTGATACCTATTCGAATACATTTTAAGAAACAAAAATCAACGGTTCGGTCACGTATTGAGAAGAGGAGCTGATCAGCGGATGGAAAGAACATTAAAGTGGATCCTAAGAGAACTAAAGTGAGCTTGGGAGAAATTAGTGAAAAATCGGGACAATTTCCTCATTACAGGTGTTAACCATCTATCAACTAGAATAGAAATTCTCAAGGAGATCCGCAACCAAACCCAAATGCAAACATGAAAACTTCTAAAGATGACGGTAACAATACAACTAGACGAATAAACGAAAGACTGGGAACCCACATGACACCGGAATAGAAGCAATCTAAGCACATATGTGTACTCGTATATATGTATATATATATATATATATATATATACATGTATTTGATACACATCATGCATGCACATACATATGTATATATGTGTCCCTTGATGGAACGATTTCCAAGAGATTCCTTAGAATCTAAAACATGCATGCCTTTCCGTTCAGAACTGCGCTGTCGAAACGTCCTCTTTCATCCTTCATAGATTGCAAATCCTTCCATTCGCCACGAACAACATCGTATTCCTCGACAGAACGAAGACACTCTCCTCGATCATAACCGCCTTAAAAGCAGTATTTAATTGTCAATGTCACCTTTTTATAATGAAATAAGGATTGCAGACATAAAAAATTCTATGGAAGAAAGTTGTGGTTCCATATAAATCGTTATTGTTCATATGTTGATGGATGACAAACGTGAGAATATTACAGGAGTAAAGAAAAGAACAAAGATTACAGCAACATTGACGACTCACCACAAACAATGATTTTTCCGTTAATGAATGAAGCCCCAATAGAGCAACGAGCTCCATTCATGGATGCCAATGGACGTCGTTGACTGCCGGTAGACGTGATCAAATGGGATAACAACGTTACCTTTTGTGGATCAACACCAGTGCCACTAAACAGACAGGTCGTTTCAAATGTGTAAGTGCGAATCAGAGGCTAAATAATCCATGCTCTCGCTCACTTATTGGATTTCGTTTTCATTATGTCTTCATCGTCAGTTAACTGAATACTAAGTACGACAAGACGACGATAGAGCACAGCCAATGCAACCCAGTAGTCCGCTGAATACACAAAATATGCCCGAATTGGATTATTTCATAGGAGTAACCTGTTGTTAATGCTACATTTCCTACCAGATGTTTGATGCGTTACGATAAGACGAGTTTCTATCGTATCCCGTGGATCACTCTCATCTGAATCGATAGAGTTTAGACTCTCCATGGATGAATACTGAACATTCGGCAAACGGCTCGCGTTCATGCGAACAGGGACAGCCCCAGTGATGCGATGTTGTACTGGTGTACTGAAGCTTGATTCCATAGAACAACTGAAAGAAGAAACCTACCACTTTGTATCACCATGAAATAAAGAAATGGGCAACAACTTCGTCATCGCCTTCGCAAGGTCTCGCTTGCTCTTCTTGTAATCCTGGATAATGTCACAACTACCCACAGAAGATTTGTCATCCATTTCAGCACAATCAGCAAGACGAAAGTCGTCTTCCATGTAAAGAAGGGTGGTCTGAAAACGTTCTGTGGAGGGAGTGATAATTGTGAAAGGACAACTGATTCATAATTTTTTACGCTAAAACGGTCAATATCAAACGAAAGCACTCTCATGGGTGTATAAAAGGATAAAAGGATAAAGCTCTCGGCGCTGGTCAACCCCTGAGGGATGCGCCATGCATTCGATTTCATTAAGTACCGTTGGAGATGACTGAACACATATCTGGCTTTTACAATGACTCGCTGCCGTCTACCGATGCATTAAGCTGGTGCTGCTATCCTCCCAGACAAGTGTGGTACCAATTTGCCGACTCCGTAGAGATGGAAGGCTTAGCGGGCCATGAGCGCGGGAATCGATTCTACGTGTGTATCGCAGTGGCGCCTCCAACCACTGCGCCACACGCGCTCTTCATGAGTGTATATGGGGAAAATAAGCGGAAAAAAGATAAAAATGAAATACCCATAAATATACTAAATTGTTAAACCTTCTCTTTGTGTTTCAAAAATATGAGCGTTGAAATCTGCAAAGTGAAAAAAGGTGGTGAGAAAGCACTCTTAGCGATTACTAATGGCACTGGCAGATAGAGAATTAGCTGAGAGACAGGCGATACGATGGGCCCGAATGGTGTGGTGGTGAACGCGTTAACCCCCTGAAATGGTAATAGCGCATTCGTTCCCCACCACAGACAATTGTGGTCCAGAATTTTGTAAGCATCTCACTATTACTGTGGTTGTATTTCACATAATACCCTGCTTATTCCGAAATGAAACAGGTCAGATTAAAAACGGTGGTTGAAGTGCACCATTAATTTCCGAACATTCTAATATAAACTAAAATAAAATTCGCGTTATCTATTCCTATGTTTCTATTACGACAAAAACACAAAACGAACCTTGTGTGTAAGCATCTCTATACAGTGTTCAGCTCTATCATGAGGTAAACTGCTAAAGAAGTCCAGAGCGCTCTGGGCAAGATTCGAACCTTTTTCGAGGTTTGCGGACCGACTATCGACTGATGGCACAATAATACGAGTCTAAAATAGATAAGTTCTCTTTCTATTAGCACACTCAATTGCTGTTGCCTATTACTGGAATTTATTACGGGCATTATCACTGATAATTAAGTGAAGCACATGAATTGCTAACACACCAGCGACCGGATTCACTAAGCACATGTAGATGAGATCCACTAGATTCCACACATTTTGGTTCGATTTGTTTCTTTTGCTGTATTATCTTTTATGCAATAAATTTTGCATCGTACGATAACCTTCTTATCAGAAATGTGAAATACGTGGTCTGAGAAGCGTTCGAACACAGCCACGTTTACAAATATTTAATAGCCCATAGAGTAGGGGTGACGGGAAGGGTGCTATGAAGCTGCCTACTCACAAATGTAAACGCACAACTCCACCCGTGATCTTCTACATACTTTAGTCAAGTTTGCGCTTTATTTATGGAAAGAATATCATCTTTTCTTCTGTCAGGCTTTAGAATCATATGCAGAATAATTCACTGTTCTCTTGATGGGCAAACACTGGGTTGCTTTTTCAACAAAGGAACAGTGAACTATTCTACCAATGTCGAGGTTAATAGGACTCGGTCGTGGAAATTACTGCAAACATACGCAGATTGCTACACGTGCACAACCCAGTGGAAATAATTTTAAGAAAAAAGCAATTTCGACTGCGAAAGCATCGAAACATAATTCTCATGACCGACTTTCTGTCAACCTAGGTATTGATTAAATAATTTTTTTATACTCCTGTTGAGCAAAGACGACGTGTTACTTCATTTCTTTTACTATGAAAACTGACGTGAAAGCAAAAAAGTTGTTCCTCAGTGGAAGACACGTAAAAAACGGCTGTGAAGAAGGCGATACTGCCGAAACGTCAGCTTCAATGGAATAAGAAATAGAGTAACACCTCGTCTTTGCTCAACAAGAATATCGAAAACTGTCGAAAAAGTGTGTATTGTCGCAACTTTGTTAAAATGGTACCGTTCTGTACTGAGAATACACTTAAAATCACCTTGATACAAGGTAGCTGGGTAAACTCTATGCTTTCGTTTACGACACTTCCAAAATTCTCCTGAATGAATGCGTCCACTTTGTCCAACAGATACACATCGTTGTTGAAGTTAGCTTGACGCCGAATACCTGCAGGAAATTGGAGTGTATTTTAGAACCTACCATGATCAATATATGCTTTAAAAGCTACCGATACAATTCATCAAAGTGAGATTATCGGCAAGGTAATTCGCACAAGCCTTAACCACTGGAGTCATTTGAAGAGCAAAAGCTGTTTTGTAAAGTTCAGCTACTTTTTTCGAACTGATTTCAAGACTGAAAATAAGTGGTGTGAAGAAATCATTGAATATGACAGGACATTGTAAAAAATGAGAATATTCAAGCTACTAACTAGGCCGTGTAGGCGAAATTAACGAGGGCTTCAAAACAATCGTAATCGGTCTGCGCGAAATCGAAATAAGCCATCGGCTTCTTCGTGGAAGGCGCCACTGCAAGCGTTGTTGTGAAATGCTGACTAGAAACGTGAGTGTTTTCCGGTACTTCGTTCGATGATCCTAAAAAAAGTCGAGACTCGGATACCTGCAGTACTCACAGAGATTGTCCCTTCTGCAGTTGCATTTGTAATGAATAAGCAAGCAGATGCTGTAAAGAATGAGCTCGCCTATGTTCTCTTCTTTCGTCTCTCCTACAAACATATCGAAAAGTGCCGGTGACACAGCGGCTAGTACCACTTTGTGAGCGAAAATTTCTCGTTCTCTGAAAAAGAAAAAGGCTTAAGGATTGCGACTACGCATTTGAACAATAACACCTCACTTCACAAATAAAACTATGTCACAGAGCTCCCTGTTGCAACGGAACGTATTCAGACGATTCAGCAGCTCATTCTGAAAACAAAGTTCTCATAATATTTCGTTAAATCGGAGGCCAGCAGTCTACCCAATCAGTTTCATTGAATCCTAGTTGACCAACCCTTATGGACGGATCTCGCAGCACCAGTTGATAATCTTCCTTCTCATCGAGTGAGTTACCGAATTTCCAATTGTCCGTGTCGTCATCACGCATCGAGACGGCACATCGCGCTCTCTTCGGTAACAATGTCAGCTGTTCTCCCTAAACTCAAAACAGAAACTGAAGGCTTTGTTAACCATTTGTTTGTTGCCTACTATGATTTTTCACAGCAAGTACGAGATGAAATACAAACGCAAAGATGCTGAGATATTCGCAAAACTACGACCCCTGGCTAGATCAAACCACAATTACCCTTTCCAAGCGCACTCGTATTACTCACTGCACCACTGAGTCCGTTGCTTTGCGTTTCGCTCAGTTAGTTTCCTACCTTACGCTGCCATCAACAATCACCCTTATTGAAAGCTTTGCTAAGGCAATATGTGAGATTAAGTCTTCACAAACGGCAATATCATGTTGTAATTTACGCAATTTTAAATGGATGCGGTAGTGATATGAAACAGTAAAAAGGTATAAAACTACATTGAAAATGGTCACGGGCTATATTATGCAACTGAATTTCATGGAAATGGATGTATTCTGAGACAATGGCAAAATTGACGCTATTCGTTCAATGGCAGTCGTCCACGTGAAAATCACGCGACACATAATTCTTGAATCAAACTTTGCGTTTAAGGAGTCGAATGAAAACACCACTCACTTTTTCGCCACCTCCATCTGTGTCGAAGCCCAGTGTTGCGTTTAAGGAATCAAATAAAAACAGCACTTACTTTTTTCGTCTGCTCCATCTCTGTAGAAGTCGAGTTTTCTTCATTGAATATCATATCTAATGACAAAGAATGTGCCTTCAATCCCCAGATGTTCTTAACCACTGAAAAGAAGATAATTTGAGAGACGAAAATCGATTCGTACCGAAGATCACGACAAGCGGCGACCACTAGCATGAGACAAGACGTGGTCTTATGGAGCAAAAACAAATAACGAGAATGGTATGCGACAGAATGTGATAATATTGAACCCAGACGACAACTGAATGAAAAAAACAAAGGGAGAAAGAGAAGATCAGATAAGGACAAAAAGTGATTGGAATGATTCCTAGACTGACGGTGAACAAAGTTCCTGCACAACTTTATCAATCACGTGTCGTTCCAGCGCCCATTGACTGATTCGAGTGGGCGCCGACGAAGCCTCGTCTCCCGTCACGTGCCAGGATTTCTCTGTGCTTAACTCGCTGGGTCGTTGTGAAGAACATCAGAGTAGCTTCGTACAAGAAGAACTAATGTAACCCATCAGTCCTGCTCATTCAGAATGAAATCAGTTCCCGACTTCATCATGTGAATGAATTCTCCGTTTGTTGATGTGTCTGGTATACAATCGACAGGTCTCGTGCCTGAGATGGTGTGCCAGGGTTCTGCCGAAAATGGTATCTTCTATATATTATCATTTACGGAAAAGCTCTCGACAGGTTTGTAACTGTTGGTGATAAGGTACAATGACGTGGTCCTCGGAGATTTCCACACGGAATGCTGTCGAGAAGGAGAGCAAGACGTTTCTGCAATACAAATACAAACATTCAAGTCCTGCGACGACTCTGTCATATTTTTCTAGAACAAGAATAGGAGTACTTCTTTGTGACTTATCAATGAGCGAATATAAACTGATTTCTTCTTCACTGTCCAGACAGAGGAACATAGAAGTGCGTGGCTAACGAGAAAGCGCTCCGTTCGCTGGATGGCCTTGAGCAACGACATGCGCGGAGGAAATCTTGGCGTCTTCTCGGTTAGGAGCCACCAGAAGCTAGGCGTCGTTGAAAATGTGCTTCAGACTGAACGGGAAGAACTAGTAACGTTTCAGATTTGTAGATTTGCTTTCCTTTCCAGTACTTTACAATCACGGCCATCAATCATAAGGCGAGCAGACTTACCAGGTAAACACAAAACGCCGCTGAAATGAATGGTTATCACCCTACCTGAACTATTATCGCGCTACACGGACAGAGCGCTAGAAGCGATAACTGCAGCAAAAACCACACAATTTCCGTGAAGAACGAAAAGTTGCTTTAAGACGAAGGAGGAAAAGAAAATGTGAAAATACGATGTTTCCCACGTCATCGTGTCATTTGGGAGCGTTGTATCATTTTGGCAGCACCCGTACCCCTTGTTGTTTGGTGAAACTGTGCTCGAAGGCATTTCCTGGAAGAACACGGAATAGATTCCATTACGTATTGTTTCAGTGGAGAGGCAACAAGGGAGATTAAGAATAGCACCAATCAAGTGTACAACTGGCGAGGAATGGACGAAGAAGAAACAAAAATTAATTCCTAGGTTACCTTTTGCCTCCCCTCTCTCGAGATATGGAATGCAATAATATAGAGCGAAGCTGTTCAATGAGAATATGAAACACTTAAGAGCACATTCGACCAAGAATGCTCCCGTTCAGACTGCACGTGCTGATCGCCGGCCCGGCATCGATACAGCAGGCGGGCGTCAGAGCCGGTGGCGCCGGGATTTCTCTCGGCTCTCATCGGACGAGCAGTCTGCCGGCTTCCCTGACGACGGAGTCGGACATCGAGCAGAGCCGCCACCCAGCGCGCCACTGCGATTTGCGTCTTCGTAGTTACATTGGGTCGAGTCCAGTAAAGTGGAACCCGCACATTATTAGTCACAATAAAGTCCGCATTTCTAAACTCACAATGCAACCACATGAATTAGTTTTTAGAAGGCAGGTAGCACAGTGGTACTGATGCCGACTATTATGAGCACGGTTCTGGTTCAATCCTGCCCCAGGCTCACCAAGCCTGTCGTCCTTTCGGAGTCGGGAAATTGGAACCAGACTTGTCTAGGAAAAGCTCACTCTCTGCAATTCAAGTGGGAACGTTCTAGCTCGGCTATTCCAGGATTCCAGGGAGAATAATTCGACCAACACTCCACGACATTCAAAATGAAAAGGAAATACTCGAGCAGCAGCAACACGTAAAAGATCGAAGACCATTGTGGATGATGGATGCGAGGAAACCAATCAAGCGCGAGATCTGCTGGGATCCGCAGAGTAGAGATGAAAGACGGGTCGGGTAGAAAAAAATTACTTTCAGTCCAAGATTCGTTATAATGGCCTATTATTACGCTTTTCTTGTTGGCCACTGACTAGTACTTACTTCAATACCTGGGTAGCCTGTTTACAGGATTTACACATCGTACCATATTTTCCATGTAGCTGGTGTTCTGAAAGATTAGCAAGAGTCCAGAGAAACCCATGCCAGGTCTTTCTCAGGTCGTCTCTATAGGTCCATGTGAATCGAAAACGTGTTTTCAACTGCAATGCGACTAGGTTTCTTAGAAAACGGCGGTGATTCTTGGTGTTTATTTAATCACAGCTGGCTTCGAAATGGAAATTCCGAACATATACCCAACTTGAACAAATCTATTCAGCTCAAAAAGTGTGGGAAAAGAATACTAAGTAGTAGTAGGCACTTTGCACGGACCATCCGCTTAGTTGAAAGGCTATCTGGTGCGTACTCATCCATTGGAAAGTGGCTTAGTATGGACCTAAAGTGACTTTGTATTTGCCAGGAGATGCAAGTGTATTTTTGAAATGAAGTCCACGTTTCTGTTGCAGCAGATTGCCTTATAAAACATAAAAAATATAACCCGTACAGCAGTGATTAATCCCTTGAACCATGCATTCGTCTCATTACGCATTGTACAGGTAGGTGATCGAAGGCATTTTTGCCCACGCAATGAGTTGCGGCGTCTACGGATGAATCAATTCGGCTTTCCTAACCTCTCAGAAACGTCCGGTGCCTACCACTGTAGATTCCGGAGGTATGAGGTGATTGATTAGCCCAGGACTCAACAGACTTGTATATATTGTATGTGTACAGATATATCTATGCAAGCATGCACGGATAGAGATGCGTAAATGTGGATTGTGTCTTGAATTTCGATTGTGTCAAGTCTACAATCAAATAACTAGGCACTGAAGAAGTTGGTGGAAGTTTGAAACCACCGGTGGTAAAAATACCTGTGAGTGACTTTTTGATTCCGTCAAAAGTGTGAAGTCAAATAAATGGGACCTGCAGAATTCGGTAGAGTTTCGGAACCACCTACAGCAAGACACAAAAGTGTATTCCTCGCCAAAAACGGCTGTCAGTCAAGTCTATCTCCTTCAGTATCAGATCAGGAAGAAGGAATATTTCATCCAATATACTCTTACTTACGGACACTGGCATGTTACTTCAACGATGAGGATTTGTGCAGGACTCGCTCTCCAAAGGATGGCAGTCGAACATCTAAGGAGCCTAAATCCAGTCCTTGACGGTGCAATAGGATGGCTTTTAATAATCTTCATTACCTGTCGTCATAAAACGTTTCTAATCTATAAAAGAAAACATCAACGTCGCACCGCTATACAAAAGGGTAGTTTTATGGGATACATGTTAGACCAGTCTGCCCGATGTTTGTTACCTATAAGGTCTTCCGCCAACTCACCTTAACGTGGTTGACAGGACATTAGATGAACAACTTAACAAAAAAGCAATGTTGCGACAATGGCTCAGCATGATGGGTCATACCCACTAGAGAACAAAAGGTACCATTTCATCTCACCTTTGTGGATTAGAAAAAGGATGAGCCAATTTGAGCTACAAAGCTGAATACGACGATTCTTCATGAGGTACACTGTAACTTAACCACCAGAACTTCACCACTTCATAACAATGTTGTCCTAGGCGTAAAGCAAATGCGTAGACAAGCGTACATCACCACACCAAAATGTTTACAAATATTCTCGAAAAAATCGAGTAAGAACTATAACAGCACAACTTAGGAATAAAAGCCGATGCTCTGCAGATGCATAACTTTTGCTTTGGCGATGATTTTCCTCCTATTAAACCAAGAATTGATCCAGGTTGGACGATTTCGACGGTGCCTGTGGAAAGATCAGTTTCCAACTAAATCTCTTGTGGATTAAAGAAAGAAAACGATCTTATAGAGAGCAAACTTAATCTCTTCTAGCGCCTCACGCAACAGAACGGATATAACTTAGTACTTCACATGCAAATTTCGCTAGGAACGCCAAGATTATCAACGATATAGCTCGGGAACTGAGCAGAAGAAAGCAGGCGGCTTGAGAAGCTTTCAAGAGGGTCGAATATATAATGAAGAGAATAGACAACAACCGGCTCCGTACCTAGTTTTTGGTTGTACAATTCTTCGTACCTTACGCAGTACTCGCGATCTTGGACGTCACGGAAAGACTATGAGAGACTACTCTGCGTTACTTGAAGCAACCTTGAAAGGCTAATGCTAGGAACATATCATAAAGCACATGTAAGAGGGCTAGCCACCATCGAATGTTCCCACTTTGTCGACAGTTAAAGTTTAGAGGCGTTGCCTTATACATAAAAATGCTGAAACCGGACATGTAGTACTTGTTTTCGACGATAGACAAAGAACATCCGGTGCCGACTCTGATGAAGTGAATGTCGGCTGCACAGCAAGAGTACCACCTACGCGATGGTCGGACATCTTTAAGAATACTTTAAGACGAAAACTATGTTGTATTCCTTGTGTCCGAAGAGCGAACAAAACCGATTGCACAACTGGCCGTAGGTACGGGACGATGAACTTTTTACACCTGCCACCACGCCACCACCAATCATTAGTTGAATAATAGAACTGGTGATTCAGGTGGATTTTGATATTCCGTATTGAGCAGTTGTTCGTATAACTGATCCGTAAGTCATCATTCTCGATTCTTATAAGCACTTTTTAATGACGACGAAGCGCTGCTCTGCCCTTCAGCTAACATTTTGCACTCAAAAATTGATCAGACAACATGCCCTTTACGTTTGCCAACTGTTAGTTCTATGGAATCCTCTTTGTTTCAACATTCCTAGAAAGTTTCCATTTCGAGGGATGACATCAGTGTCACATGGGTACTGTGATCAATGCTCAAGGAGCTTTGCCTGTAACGCACATATCTCGACTCATGGTGAGCTTTGCTTCCATTTCCATTCTCATTGATTACTTCAAACAGAACACTTTGAAAGCTATTGGTGTCTACCAGTTTGGTACAAGTTTTCTTAGTTGGTTACGATGAAATCTTGGCTGTTTGTATTCCAAGTACTTTCGTTTTTCTTTAATTCAGCTCGCATTTCGAACATTGGAGGGCATGAATAAGCGGAATTTCCCTTATTAAACCAACACAATGGTGTTCATGTATCTATAATCGTTCCCTGAGGCAGTTGCGCTTACGTTGGAGATTTTAAAAATTGAAATTTGGTTTCCAGTGGTATATGGCTCAATGGTACTGATGGCGATCATCACGTGCTCGATGGTGGTTCAGTGTCACCCGAGCTCATCAAACATCTGATCGCTCTAGGGTCGGTAAATTGGATCGGACATATCCGAGAAGAAATCACTCTCTGCAATCCAAGTGGGAACCATCCAGCCCGGCTATGACGTGACTACAAGGAGAGTCGACTCAATCAGCATTCAACGACACTGAAAATGAAAGGAAAATCCTCAAGCAGTAGGCGAAGTTGTGCGTAAGAATTTGGAAGGCATTCATGGATAGTGGATGCGAGGAAAACGAATCGAAGGTGGAAATGCTGGGATTCGCACATGAGATGTGAAAGATGGGTCGCACAAAAAAAATGTACTCGCAACGATCACTATTTACATGCAATTCAGATCTTTTGTAACCAGTAGTGAAGCAACCAAACCATAAGCATTCTCTGCACCAGCTGGGTAGACTAGATGGGACCAGAATTATATATATATATGCCTGAATATATGTGTATATTATTATATTATTTACATATAATATATATTTACATGTATATATACATAAAGTCATGGCCCCACTTGTCGCTATATATACATAGCTATGTATGCGTATATATATATATATATATATATATACATATGTATGCATGTTGGCCCGTGGAAAATGTTTGGAGCGAAGCACTATAGCAAAACACAGGAAGAAATAAAAATTGCCACGATCAGTCGACAGACAGCTCGAGAACGATGTAACGAGCCGAATGCCCGATAACGAGAGTCCCGGAGTGGGAACTCGACGGCTTATAAAAGAGATCTCGGTAAGGATGGGCAATTATTTTGCTTCTAGTGTCTGAAGTGGCCAGCCTTGTGGACAGTTAGGAAGAAGTAGCTCCAGCTGCAACACAACAACCATCCTCGACGCCTACTACAGAGAACAACGTTGCTGCACGTTCGGACTCCACGAAGAAATCAATCACTCGGGAGAGACGTAAACATGTTGGTCGATCAAAGGAAGCTGTAGCGAGCAAAAAGGTTCATCAGATTTTCTGAAGCTTCCAGACCTGTTAATTGTCCCCTGGCTGGTGTGATGAGTGTGAAACGTCTGTGAAACAAGATATGTGAGCAATAGGTGTATTTTCGTGAGAATTTCCTAAGTGGTGTCAACCCGATGCTGCAGCACACCTCAAGGCAACTAGAACAATGCACGTAAAAACTTGCAACGTAGCCGAAATCACCGTGACTTCCATGTCTACGGAGAAGAAGCAATGTAAGTAGAAGACTTGCAACGTTGCCGAAATCACAGTGACTTCCATTTCTACAGAGAAGAAGCAATGTAAGTAGAAGACTTCCAACGTGGCCGACATTGTGCTTTCCATGTCCATAGAGATAAAAAATAAAAGTTTTTGGTCAACTTTGTGAATATTATGTAACAGAATATGCAGTCTCCATTACCTATACTCCTCGTTTAGAAGGAGACAACGAAAAGTTCGTACTCACAGCATTGTCTGCAAAGCAGCAAATTATGTAATTTTCGAACAAGAAAAGACTTAATATGGCAGCGATCATCTAAGCTGACAGGAGTTCTCATTCTGGTAATATCGATAGCGTTTACGTACTTCTTGACCCATTCTGTTCAAGGTAAAGTCGGTGTAGTAATGCATTACAGCAAGCGTTTCTGATGGCATCGTCAGTAGCTGATGACCACATTTATCGTTGTACTCTGATCGTTGAGAACTTTCGTCATCACTAGCATTTCGATAACTAAACCCGTTGCGAATTTCATCTAGAACGATTGTAACGCGCTTCGTTGCATTGGTAAGCTAGGCGATGTTTCTACAAAACTGTATTGTGTCTAAGGCTTGGGCGTTCTACTAGAACAACGAGCAGTTTTCGTGGAAACTTTAATGAATTTGTGGAGAGTACAGTTCGAAGACGGAAAACGACTCGCCAAATTTTCCAATACTCAGGTGTCATACAGTAAAAGCAAGCTTACAGCTGGACACGGAAATACAAGATTGTTTTTTTGCGATTACTCATAAAAGTGAAATGAAGCAAACAATGTGAAGACTGCTAATATCAAAGGATAGCAAATTACAGAGAAACGAAGGATTTGAACTCACATGCGCAGTATTGGACCACCTCCTCATCACAAGTTTTGCAGTTTCAATTAATCAATTTCAATTGTCTAAAGTGATCTAGAAATATGAAATGGTCAAAAACGTTAATAGATACACTGAAAGCATAAGAGAAATTATTCTGTTCGAACGCAGAAGATAGTTCTACTAAGACACGAAAATGCTTCCTACGGTCTAGCTCCTCATCGTCGCTGAGAGGTGTTCCAGAGTGTCGGGCTACGATGTACAGCGTGGGATCCACCCCAGCAGGGTTTTCCAGGCAGAAAAGAAGTCTGGTGTTTCCATTAGAAGACCCAGCTATGAGTAAACCAATGGCAAACTTGTCTGTTACAATAAAAACACTGAGTCGACACGGCATTAAGCCACCGAAAACAGTTGAATAGGTCAAAATGTGCATTCTGTCAGCTTTATGATGCTTTATTATGAAACGGAACGCATAGCGCATCAATAAGGAAATCAAAGTCGAGCGTTTCACTTTCTTATTGTTTACCGTGCCGGGAATTCACGGTTGTAACAAATCCTCACTTGTTTTGCCATAAAGTAGGAGGCTGACATATTATGACAACAACTATCTATCTCCGATAGTTTACAGAATGGACCAGGCAGTAAATGATTTATTGCGGCACTTAGAGGAAAACAAAATGTTCAGAAAGATTCTGTACAATGTAGCATAAGTACAACACCATACTTCTCATTAGGTTAGACGGTACAAAAACTCAACACAACGTCCAAAGCTCACTGTCAGCCCGTCCTTTTTTGCAACCGATTTTCTCCATTTTCAGACGAATTCCTAACGCCATTATTTAGGACGGGTGTTACTACAAATTCCTCAGATTTTTTCTTTATGACTGAATATGACCAAGACTGTAGCGCTATCAGAGACATCAGCACCACTGTCCACTGTGTTATGTTGATCAGGAAATTTGAGTGATTTCGCCGGAACACAATTGAGAAATCCACATACAATCATAGGGCAAACCGAATTCTTGTACCTCCAACCTAATATGACAAAGATGTTTGAAACAAACTCATTCCTTACATGAAAACTTCATAAAGACGTAATTCAACTATTCATCGTTCAAATCAGATTCTTCAGACAACTGCAAATTCTGAGGGGCACTTCCAGTTCTTAACTGTTTCGCATGTTTTGTTGTTAGTTGTTTTTCCTTTGGACACTTCTGCTTGCGAGATTCTGTCGAAAGAGCAGCGATATTTGACGATGACCCTGAAATATAAAAATAGTGTGCCGGTATGTCAAATATCGCTATCAATAGTAACAACGACAGTTTCATTTCGAGCAAATGAACTTCTTCCTCTGAAATTAAGAGTAATCTTCATTTCACTCCCTGCAACCCAAATGAGAATGCTCTGGCCTGGACAAAGTAAATCCAAGCAGCAGCCTAGTCTACAAGCAAAAAGTAGGAAAACCTTCGTGGGTGATTAATGCGAGGAAACGAATCGAGTGCAAGAAGTGCTGGAATGTCCATAGCAGATGCGGAAAACGGGTCGTTTAAAAAAATAAATAAACAAGGAAATTGAAAGTGTAGTGAAAGAAGGAGACGACTGATAGAAACGTATGAAATCAGAAGTTATGCAATCCGAATCGTGACTGTATGCATTTATTTCACAAAAGAAATAGAGTTGATGTGAAGACTTGAGAGACACAAATGAAATTGTTCTATGGCTCTAAAGATGTATATGCTAGAACTCACTTGATATTTGAACAGCCTATCCTCACTGGTTGTGCGGGCTCCAAAACAATCACCATTTTTCGGAGATTTGCTGGTTAAGCCACTGTGGCTCTCTGGAATCCCGAGGTCAGCTTAGCCAAAGTCTGCCCCAGGTCTCCACCATGCGACTTTGATACCAGGACGGTGGTAGATCCTGGTATTGGTTCACTCCTAGCTAAGCTTCCTGATGGAAATGCCGGACTCCTCAACTTGGGAGACCCTGCCGTGGAGACGAATCCCCCGCTGTACATCGCAGTCCGACACCCAGGAACACCTCCCAGCCGCGATGAGGCCCTAAACCGTTGGGAGGAATGCTAGAATATCGAACGGAAATGAACAGTGAACTCCTCGTGGAGAATAATAATAAAGAAACTACCGATTCGAGGTCAATGAAGGTCCTTCTCACCGAAAAATGTGGCAAAAGAGAATCGAAGAAAGATGACGACGATGATAATTATGAAGAAGTGAGTAGTCTATTTGTCAGCTCACATCCAGTGGATCTTCGATGACAGTCAATCTGATGTGAATGACGACTTTGTGTAGGTGAACAGAACAGATAGTTTTTGAATTATTTACGGCTGGAATCTAAGATTTCACTGCAAATGAAACTAGAAAGTGCGCAGTTGAAAGGATTTAATAGGAAACTAGAAGTTCTATGAGACTGGAATACTCATATCTAAGGATATAAATTAACAGGTTGCTATAGTTGAGACGTTATTGGAGTTAAAGTTCTGCTCAGGTCGTCTACGTGAACCCTGTTGCAGACTACAAAATGAATAATTTCAAGCACAATAGAGGAAAGATTTCTGTACCTTATCCACTGGCAACGGTCTCCGTGGCGCGTACCTTCATTAACAGCAAAAATCCCTCCACTAAACAGATCCGTATCGCAAAAAAACTATCGCAAGTTATCTACAACTGAGACATTTGCTCCGGACAAGCTATCCACTGAATACGAAAAGTGCACCAACAAGTTCTACATGGGCTTAAAGCTTAAAAGCTTAAAAATGCACGGGGTGCAGTGACTCGGTCCAAGCTGTTCTCCAGACGCAAGCACTGCATAAGAGTTCAACTCGAGCGTTATGTGTTAATTGGTAATTTGCTGGTCGCGGGCAAACTTTCTTCCCTGGAAGCATAGAATATCCGTGAAAGAGCTTAATCAAGTTGTCACCGCAAGATCGACGATGTTGATGGATTGAAGAGAGGCTTGGCATATTTGCCAATGGTAAGGCACTAAAATAGAGGAGATTTTGGTATAGGCTTACTAAATTGGGCCACCTATCAGATGAAAACGAACCCGTTCTCAGCTTAGGAGATCACGATTGGATGAACCACAGCATATCGCAGTTCGACACCAAAGTTCTGGGACGCTGTTGTGAAACAAATTAATTATTCCTTCATTTCTCCACGATCTAAGACTGTAAGACAGCAGAGACGCATAAAAGGTGGATTCAGAAAACGCCGAAATATATGCAAGTGCTGTCAGGAAGTGCATGTGTAGCATGGTGGCTAGAGGTACCCTGCAGTACCCACTGGGTGAGTCCTTTGCTCGAACTGGCGCCCGGGTCTCACCAAAGACTTCATCCGTCCAGGATTTGAAATGGTATTACACTCGTTTGTGAGGAAATGAATCGTCGAAATACATCGGTAGGCTACAAGTAATTAAAAAAGCCAAATATACATCCAATCACCTATTCAGCGCTGAATGCCTTTCCTTTTTACCCCCTACGCTGTGACACATTACAACTAAAGGTTGACAGCACACTGGTTTGATGATATTTGAATTACCTTCGCTGACACAACAGATGGAAATGATCCAAAAATAAAAAAAAAGACACAAGCGTAGAGAAAAAAGTTTGGTGATTCTTGATGAAATATACAGAAAAACCGAGTCACAGAGCAAAAAAAGAGACGGACCATTTCAGGAGAGAGCGCGTATTTCGAACGACATGCAATGAGCTCATTGTATTAGAGGATTTGTTATGAATGTGGTCAAAAGCTCGAGATCTTCTGACAAGTAAACACACCTGTTCGTTTTGAAAGTTTCATAAGTGCTGTTTCTACTCTTCTTGTTAGCTTCGTTTTCTGTTCGTTTGGACATTGTTGCAATTTGCGCATATAAGAGGTAATGTGCCGTTGATAAGACGTTTTGCCACCAATGAAATCATTCCACCGTTGAAGGGCGAGTAATGTTTGCTAAATCTGAACAAGCTTAAGACGAAAGGTAGTACCTCAACACACGGAACAAAAGGAAAATCAAACCTCCTATAATGCTGAGATTTTTGCAAAACTCCGGACCGCAGGTGTCTGCGGTGGGGAACGAACACACTATTGTCCTTTCCGGGGAGTAACGATCGATATAAATAGCTAAAAGACAGGCAAAACGAAGGAACCGCATGGTACGGTGGAGAAGGCGTTACTCCCCAGAAAGGACAATAACGCGTTCGTCCCCACCGCAGACACCTGCTGTCCGGAGTTTTGCAAACATCTCAGTATTATAGAAGTTATATTTCGCAACATACTCTGCCGTTAAACAGAATAGACAGTAAATAAAAAAGGTTACGATTGTGAAAATCAAACCCTTTCAAATTTCGCATCATCCCAACCAAGTCTGTTGTAGAGCAGGTACCGAACACTATCTACGTCCACACTTCTCCATCTAAACTTTTCAGTGGAATTATCTACATTTGGATGGAAATACGCTGCGACAACTTCATCGTTTACAATCTAAAATTTAAAGAGTTGCGTATATGAGGAATACTTAAGAAAACCTCGAAAAATCACCGATTTGATTTTATCCACGTCGTTGTTTTTCATTATAACAGAGCGTAGCTTCTGTCGTATGGATATAGGCTCTGGCAGTTCAACATTTGACTCAAATGTCACCATCCACTCTCCGATGTTCTTCAAAGTCCTCATCGTCTTAACATAAAGAAACAACATTCTTCGGAAATAATCTTGCAAGTGCTTAAGTAATTGATAATGTACTTCGTATTCTTGGGAGTCGCTCTGAACAGATGATTTGGTGACCGCAAACTCTGATAGCAGTTCAATAGCAGTAACCACACCAATACCTGTCAAACCAGAAGAGTAGTCACTACCAGAAATTACGGCTATACCAACAAACTCAGACTGGGAAAGACCTGAAGAATGTTAGTATAGGCAAGATAGAACACGGTTGGAACACATGCAAACAAAAAATGGAGATTCTTGCAATGCAAATCACAAAGTGCTTTTAAAGACTCACATACTAAATCTTCAAACGAAATTGAAACCGAGAAAAAATTTCAAAAAGGAAAATGAAAGAGATTTAAACGACACCCACAACATGAAAATATACTGACCCAAGGACTGTTTTATGACGCGGGACTCATAATGTTGTACATTTTTATTCTTAGAGAAAAGATGACGGTAAACGCTTTTCGCGCCGAATGCCCACACATCACTGTCGTCAGAAATCACGCCCTGATATGGAAAGTGAGACATGAAACAACGTTAGAGTTGTGTCCAGAACCAATGACAAACATTTGGAAAAACCTAAAGAAACAAATTGTGAATAGTAAGCAACCTGTACTAAACCAAGCTTTTCAAGTTGCACACACTGAGCTTCTGCCTCACCAGGTGCTTCAATCCAAGGAAAACCACAAGCGGTTAAGAAGTCCTTAAATACGTGAAATACAAATGCTATGTCAATTCATGAAAATGGAAGAACTACTGAAAATTAAATAGAGCAGAATAAGTTACTCAAAAATACTAAATAACCACAATTACTTGTAGATCCTTGTAGCATTCAGAGTCTCGGCCTCCAGATGCACCATTTCTGAGATCTTCTTTATTACTCCATTCGAAATCCTCACCCTGACATAGACTGGATTTGAGGAACCTAACCGCTCAACGTATTTCAAAAGCTAGGTTGCTTGGGAATGGAGAAACTAGAAAATGAAGCCAAGCAAATTACACTTACTAAGGCAGGCTCCCAATGTTCCGAGATTTCGTCTGAGGAACAGTCCGCTTCATACTTATTTTCAGCTCCAGGCGTGGTTGGATCACTTACTTCCTTTACACTTTGTTGCTTCGTTTCAATGAGATTTAAACTGTGGTCAAAGGGCAAGTCGATGGAAGGGACATCAATAAAGTCTTCTGTTCCAGAGTCAGATGACCAGTCGTCACTTCGAAGCATGACTGAAACAAGATGCTAGGCAATTTAAGACCAATTAATAGTATCATGGTGTTAAAAAAGGAAGATGACGATAACGAATAGAATGGTTTTCTGGAATGTTGCAAGTACATCGAACTTTAGGAGTGGGAGCAAACAAACCAGTAACAGCATTTCTATGTCCCATACTGCGCTTGGCGTGATCCTCGATCATCGTAGTCTTGCTGTAGAATTCACCATCATCAGAATCATCGCTAGTCGACTTCTAAAAATAGTACTTAAAGTACAAGAGATTTATTCTATAGGTGAAAGGACACAACCAAAACAGCAAGTTTGACGAACTTAAGGTTTCTCAAAAGTCCTATGTCCAGATAAGATGAAACAGTATTGTTAACACAGTATTTATTTCCTTACGGTCGGTGCATTGACGGAATTCGTCTTCTTCAAAACATAGGATGGTTACCCTAATATGTAGTTAGCCCAATTCGATAGTTGTGTAACACCATAGTAAACTTGAAGATCTAAACTTCGGCGACAAAACAAGCAATTTTGAAAGTACCCCATGTGTCTTCCACTTAGTACATACAGAGAAAACTTCAGCACAACTATCCACATGGAATGACATAGGTTCTCAGTGTGTAAAATATCTATGATACCACCATAGCAGCTCTAGTGCATTCAAAATGTACCCGTCTCTTTCATTGCTTTCCTTCACATAATGACACATTCAAGACTGTGATAGTCCACACAACTTGAAGAACTGAGAACTGAATGAACCTGTACGATGGAACTTACACCACTTAAGATGATATGTTTGGAAACGTTATCGTGGCCTGTTGGACCGGGTCTCACTTTTTCAATCGCTTAGCTATCCAAGACATGAGATTCTCAAATGCGATCAATACCTGAGAGCCACCATCTAACAGTGAGGACAGGGGTGTTTGACCGCACAACGTGCTATCCAAGAAAGGCATCGAGATCTCATTAGAATGCCCTTCCCGATTTTCGCACAGCTATAAAACAACGATCTGAGCAAATAGTAAACGAGAAAAACTACTTGATACTACCTGCTGAATTTGGTTGTTCAAGCGACTTCGAAAAAGTAACCGTTGAAGTTGGAAGTCGCTGAAAGTTTTCGAGTCGGTTGGAATCTAAAGTATTTGAAGATTGTAACACAATACCTAAACCTACTGTTTTCGATATAGCTCATAACTCAAATAATTAATGCACTTCTAAAATGTTACAAGCTCGTTATATTTATTACATTACATAAGCATGAAATTTAAATTACTCTTTATGATTTTCGACGTAGCCAGCTATGCTATCATAACCTTCTACAATTTAGCAAACTCACATTTGTATTGGCTACTTGACGACTTAATCAGAACTTTGTGCGTCTTCTTACTATTCAGTGGAAGACTGGTTACAGCTGTATCCATTTACTTGGATACTTGGACGGCCCATCCTCATTGGTTGTGCGGACTTCAGCATAATCTCCACTTTTGGAGTGTTATTGGTTTGGATATTGTTTCCCTGGGATTCCGACGTTACCCCAGCGAAAGTGTGTCCCAGGTCGTCACCAGCACAGGCAGTCACAGCCGTCGTAGACTAGAGGGAAATTTGCCACCACGTGACTAGTTTTATAGCAGAACGGTGTTCGATCCTAGTATTGGTTTATTCTTAGCTAGGTTTCCTGATGAAAAAGCAGGACTCCTTCTCAGTTTAGGGACCCTGCCAGGAGACTGAATACCCCAACTGAACATCGCAGCCCTACACCCGGGAACACGTCCCACCCACGATGAGGCGGTAAACCGTTGGGCGAGATTACATTAGTAACCCATGGAAAACGCGAATATCTTTTAAAACCTTGATACACTGAAATTTTGCCTGCCCAGTAGAATAGTACAGCAGTAGACTTAATAGATGCGAAAAATCTGATAAGTTAGGGATTCAAATTGCTGGAAATGAAAGAAAAATTAAGGACTGAAGAAGAGCCTCTTGTAAATAGAAAAACAGCGAAATGCTGTTTGTGAAGCATTAAGAAATAGCTATTAAAAAGTGAAAGCATAGACAAACGTTACCACAATAGAGTTTAGCGATGCTGTTTCTCCTGAGTTTTGAACACGAAAGAGTGTAATTTCCAAAATGGAGAAAAAAAGCTTAGCACAAAATGTCGCCGTACCTGCGATGGTTTCAGTCGATCCGCACGAATACGTTCTCTTTCTTCTATCAAGAAATCAATAGCACTTGAGCGATTTGTATCGGGAAAGAATGGCCTGCTCTCCATTGAAACAACATCGTCTTCATCACTAAGTTCCACTGCCTCACTAAATCGACTATTTGGGACAAGCTAATGAAAAAAAACGCGCATATACTACAGAAATAAATGAGGCGTATGACACATTCACATTGATTGGACTGGCAAAATGTCGAACAAGTTGCTGTCGAGACGCTGTTTCTTCGTGTTTTCTGCGGCCAATTTGCTCTTGACTGCCTCAATTTCCAATTGAGTTTGCGAACCTGCAATGCAGAATCCGATATAATACTTTATATTCTTGTTGAACAAACACAAGTTGTTATTTTGCTTCTTATTTACGAGTAAGATGACATTTCGGCGGATTTCGCCTTCCTCAGAGCCTTGAGTGGTCAAGTTAACCGCATTCTACCCAGCCAAGCACCTCCATGACTAAGCAGAGAAGATGCTAAACCAAGATTTCAATCACAGTGCTTACTGTTCAACATTTAGTGTTTATTCAAAAATAGTATTTGATCAATACCAAGGTTAATAGAAAATCGGTCACTGGGAAACATCATAACACTCACAACTGCTGTAGATTGGCTGACAAGCCTAATGTTCTACAAATTAAACTGTAATGTTATCGGGAGCGTAAAACGTTGCTGAAGACACTCCCGATTCAAAAGAACTACCACTTGAATACGATGATCCTCTACGGGTTTCTGGGTAATTCAGTGCAAAAACACGGCAGAACAACGGACCGGAGAATGGAAAGTGTACTTTGGATCCCACATTTCATCACGTAGGCGGGCCATTTAAATTTGACTGTAACTGAGAACTAAAAACACTAGGTACTCATTCGTCAATAGAATAAGTATCTCGCTGCAAAAATTCAAATTTGAAAAAAACCGTCAAACCCCTCAATAATGTTTTCGATAAGTGAATTTAGTGGCGATTTTGCAAAATAAATGGCAACCACATAACATCGCTCTCACTTTAAGGAGTTTAAGGTCAAGAAGGAAGGATAATTCTACAAGCTCGGAAATATAGGATGTTCGATGGATACTCACCTGTGGCAAGGTACAACAGATGGCGTTTTTTCGCACTAGTTAAGCTCACTTCGTCAGCATGCCTTTTCAGACGGCGCTCATCCTGAGGAATGAACAAAACGTGAAGAAAAAAGCGAGATAACACCGAAATCCTTAACAAAATAACCAACTAGTCTGGTGAAGTTTGCAAAGGCCTCTTCAAAACAACTGAATAACTAAATGATCACGGCAATTCTTACCAAGACTTTCTTCTTAAACGATGGTATACACATCCCATCAAATACAAAGACAGGTCTGATCTTGTAATATAGGAGCTTGCACAAACGCGAAACCAGCAAAGCGAGGTGGGGGCAACGCACTTCGCCAGGATAACCGAGTTGGGCTTGGTAAATCCAAATAGACACATCTATAAGGAAAGCAAATGTGCGACTATATTGTGATAAATCTGATGTAATGAGGAAAAACTGAGGAGCTCACCGACAGCCAGGATCATTCCCTCCAAAGCCTCTAATGGAACCGGTTGACATGTGGGTTCCAATAACGGCCAAAGACCAACGATACCCATACTGGCAAGACCACATCGAAATTCAGAACCTACGAACTCGACACTCGAGATTTCTGGAACCGCTACACTCGAGCTGCGTAGCGTACCCCGAGGATAGTTTGCACACCTTCAAAGGTCACAGTCGCAGTTGGACTGGGTCAGAGTTTCCAATGCAGAGCACGATTTTATTCTTCGCATAAATGCACAAATTTCTAAACTTAATCGTTTGGTTGCGACGTGCTCGCATGCTGTGCATGAAATTGCATACTTGGATGGGTGGTCTTGACGAATTGAATGGGTATCAGCACATGTTTGCTTTACCGTATGTCAGTTTATGCGAATCTGACTGGTGCAGGTTGGACTGTAGCCAAATGATTAAGCAGTTTCGGTCAACGATCGCCCACGGACCACCTCGTATCTTGGAGAACTGCTCAATGATGAGTGATCAGATGGTCCCTTCTGTACGACTAGAGCCCTGCTGGGCAGCTCTGGGAAAGTAACTTCATTCGTGCAGTGCTCAACTGTACTCTATTCGTCTCAATGACATGGCAAAGAAGATCAACAAGGCAAGAAGGAACGGTTGCTATCGCCACGCGACTTGAATCATCGTGGCTCTAATGGAGGGGATGTCGCCGAAGCGTCAGCCATAATAAAGATTTTTAACAGCATCGTGGAAGTTCATCAGTGAACTAAGTATGGAGTTTGTAGTTTGCATCAACTTCAAGATAGACTCCGTAACAGAGCTACATTTGAAACACTAAATAGGATTGAACGACAAGAAGTAGGGACATTGCCACTACGACCATTTCCTCAGACGAACAAGAACGTAGTTGACTACGCTTCCTCACACCACTCCACTCACACACATTAAGAGCGCTTGTAAGAAACATGCTTCGAGCAACCACGAGTGTGCGCACAGGAAGAGAGCAGAAGGAGGAAATAGGTTGCTGAAATAGGTCCGGCAAATAGCCATTACCAATGGCTATAGAACTGTAGGTTCTCGGGATGGGTTTAAAGGAGGAGTCATGCTCCCAAACGATGTGTAGCGAGTATGAGGTCTCACTTACTCTGACCTTTATTTCCGACGATATAAGAGCAGCTACAAAACGTTGTTTAAAACGGGCCGGTCTAGCGAATTCGGTAACAGTGATTGAAATACCACCAAATACTCTAAGACGCCAGCTCGTTCGTAACCGCCTGCATGACCGTCTATGCAAGACGCAAAATTGATTAATTAGCTCCAACCGTAGGGACAATGACTGCATGGGTTTGGGTGCGGTACCTAACCTCTAGTTAGCGCGTGGCGACAAATATACCTAATCTCCAGTCAGCGCGTAGGGACAAATACACTGGCGAAACGGATAGACGTCCGTTTGGTCTGTAAACTTGAAGTTAAACCAAATGCACCATTACACACGCACAGTACACGGGGATATAACAGATTTTGAAGTAGCAGTTACCATAATGGCACAGGGAAGGAATATCTCGTTATCATGCGTAATCTCAAAGAATACTTGAGACTGATGTTTTAATATTACAGGCATATTACTTTTCTACATGAGCTCTGTGCAGTTGCTTTCCACATGGAATGCGAAGCAAAAGGTTTATAAAAAGCGGTGATTGCACAGAGAGGCTACTTTGTTTTCACTGCGATTGAGACATAAGATTCGTGATTTTTCTCTTTGCCTTATGGAGGGATTTGGCTGCGTAGGTTGGATTCAGTTTGACCTTTCCAGGCTCTGAAGAAAGCAAAATCCGCCGAAAGATCAGGATCTTTGCCAATAAAAAATAAACTAGCAACATCGTGTGTGCTTATAAAGAAAATGATAAGTTTTTGGAACATTGATTATCCAAGCCGTGGTCTAACAAAAGTCGGACTTTGTATAGTACACACGCACAAGTGCTCGAAAATTAGCAGAAGAACTCGGAATAGGCATTTCAGGTGCTTCGGAGTTGGGCACGAAAGGTGAATAGTCGGAAAAGCTCGAGAAATAACTGCCGCGCGAATGATGGAATGACAATCAAAGGAGTTGCCGCTTTGAGGTTTCGTCTGTGCTTCTTCTGCGATTTGTGTCTTACTGCAGTTTTGACTTTTAACGAGAAATGGCTCTACGACAATCGACCCAATGGTTGGGCCACGATGAAGGTCCGCAGCACTTTCCATAATCGAAATTGTACTAAGAGAAAGTCATATCGATTGTTTGGTGATTTAATTCATCATTACTTCCTAAATCCGAGTGAAAAGGTTTTAGCATAGATGTACGTCCAAAAAATATACAGAAGAACTAAAAACTTTAATGGTCGTGCCCCGCTTTGGTCAGCAGGAAAGCAACAATCCTTCTGCCAGACAACGTGCGGCCACGTGCCGCACTACTGACGGTGCACAAGCCGAACAAGCTACGCTAAGAAGCTGTGTCTCATCCACCATACTTGCAGATCTCACGCCTATCAAATTCTAGTTCTTCAGGTATCCTGATATTTTCTGTGCGACAAATTCTTCAGAGACCAGGCCGAGGCTGAAACTGTCTTCAACGAAATCATTGCCTCTAGATGTCCACAATTATTTGTAAGTGGTATAAATAAACTTGTTTCTCGTTAGCAACAATGCGTAGATAATAACGAATTCTACTTAGATGGATGAAGTCCGTTCTGAGCCGAGATTTACTACGTTCGATACGCAGGTTGAAATCGAACATCAATTTCTGGAGAGCCCAGTAGTTGGATGCCATTTATAAAACCAAAGCCTGAAAACAGAAACGTTATCATAAGGTTCGAATGCGTTACATCGGGAGCTGCGTACAGCCTACACGCGCTAAAAGCAGCATTTGAAATGGAATGATACGTTCGGAAATATTTCTTGCAGTTTCTTGGGCACAACAGGGGTCGGCGAGCTGGATATGAAAGGCAGTGTTATTTAGATGGAAGTTTCATGTCTATTGGATGAAAAGAGGAAAAAGAGTTGAGCAACTTTTAGAAACTTTTACGAAAAATGATAACTTTGCTTAAGAAGGTTTTCTACATAAAGGTTTCAGAAGACAAAAGTGTTAAAAAGTAAACAAAATTTGCTGTTATTAAACATCATCTCTTAGTACAGCCTCTTCTTGAGTGATAGCTTTAGGCTGCGACGTCCCTTCTTTAGTTAATAGATAACAAAACCAGGGTCCTCCTCATATTTTACGTAGTTATCATTTAAAAAAAGAAGTTCGTTCTTACCATGCCAAAGTAGTTTCGACTCACAATTGTTGTGTCCAGACTTTCCTCCTGAGGTAATCTAAGGCGAAGCGAAAGAGAAATACGCATTCTTGTCATGAAACGACTAGAAAAAACCATCATCACAAAGCTACCATGGTCATCATAATGCTTCCATTATACAAAACACTACGACGTTCCACACTTTTGAGGGACCGTGGTGATTTTAGCAACGACATTATTGTATCGTCTAGTAAAGACTCGACGAATTCGTAGAGACATATGTCAGTTCCAACGAACATCGTATGTCAGCAACACAATTACCACTGTTTGCCCAATCGAAGGCGTTCAACGCGCAAATCACCTCTACTGCGATTCTGAGCAGAGTTCTTTTAGTGAGAGGTGAGATTTACTACCTACATTGATTAGCTCCATGGAACGCAGCAGTTCAAATCAGCTGCCACCGCCGAATAATCACAATTTCGAGATGGAATGCTCGATTTTGGACGAATTTTCCAAGAAAGACTTTTTGTTGCTGGCATCAAACTTGGGTAATTAAATCATTTGTAGCGATAGTAATACAATAATAACGATATGATAGTACCAAGAAATTTCAAAAATATAAGTGCCACGGCAATTCAAGGGGCAAGAGACTACATTGAAAATAAGAGAGTAGTTTCTGCCATAGACTAATGAAGCAATAATCTTACACAGAGAATAACCAAGAAGATCGAGGAACAGGTAGCATCGCGGGGGAAATGAGGGAATGGTGGTAGTGAGAAGCTTCTACAATAGACTGGTAGTGTAATGTGCGAAGGAAGTTTTATATAGAACATAAGCCAACCAGCAAAAGCAGGAAGCAAATGGTAGCCCAGAAAGAAATGTTTCCAAATAGATAACAGCGAGACTAGGTTATGCAACAGACTGAAGAAGTAATATGAAGAATAAATATTGCAAAGGATAAGGACTACTAAAACAGCGGTGGTTGGGACGGAAAAGGCATAACGTACGACTGACGTTAAGGTTGATTCTACTACGTGGAATGAGAAGCCGAAAAGAAGGTGGAGTATAGACAGCATTCTCCACAAAATAACGAATGTTGTCTATCAACCCTCAAACAAATTCACATAAATTTTCTATGCAAACTATTGTATCGCTTCCAACTATACTTTCAGTGTAAGCTATTGTATCTTTTCAATTGTGTTTTATGAATTCTTTCTTTGATGAGCTTACACGAGGTTGATACATGAGAATACACAGGTGACGATCTGCACCTGCCATGCACGCACACTTGTATCTAAGTCCTCCACATAGAACTTGATCATATGGGATAGAAGGATAGGGTACGGCCTCATCGGGTTGGCACCATCCATTCAACGCCGCCTATGACACGGACTGTTCCTCGTAACATGCGACAATAGAGGAGTCGGCAACGTCGGCGTCGGCGTTCTCGTCAATGTGAGTTTGGCCCTGAACTTCGATTCATTGGAACAACTAACAACCCGAATCGGGCGTTTACGATTGATGAGATGTGAATCAATACCGGATTTGGCAATCTTTGTCGTTACAAACCGATATCAAACCACGACGAAGAAGTCGAGCGTTCTACATAGACCTGGGGAAGTTCTGTAGAGAATACCACACATTTTTTGAAGTCATCATTAGAGACTGCTAGTATTTGTCCTTTACAAACGTTTCACTCGAGTCATCCTGAACAGGAGTAGCAAAACACTGGACGAAAGCCAGACATGTGAGCAAGCAGAGTTTTGAAGACGATTCAGTACGATGGACCATATCTACGCGATAACAAGACTCACTGAAGTATCGCGAGAGTACAAAAGACCGCTCTGTCTCACTTTCATCCATGTAAAGAAGGCCTTTGACTCAATTGAGATAAAAGCAGTCATGGAAGCCCTTGATAGTCAAAGAATCCCTACTCAGTACATAAAGATTCATCGTAAGCTTTACAAAAATTTCACAACCAAGATGTCATCATTCTACAACGATATTAACACTGACGTCAAAAGAGGGGTTAGGCAAGGCCGCCACCTTCCAGAACGTCATGTGAACATTGGAATGGGATAATATAGGTGTGCAATCGATGGTCGGCAATTACACCATCTTCGTTTGCTGATGACGACGTACTTATAACACCAGACATTAGCCAAGCAGTCCACTGTGATAAAACCTGCGGAAAAATTGATCTTCGACTAAATCTCACAAAACGATGTCATTAGGAACGAATTGGTTTCGTATCTCCATTCACGCTTAACGGAACGAATATCTCCGAATGCTTCGGTTACGTATGTTTATCTAGGTCGGAAAATCCACATGATGAACGACTTAGCTCCGGAGTTGAGTAGAAGGAAACGAGCGGCATTGGTAGCTTTCAAGGGCATTCACGATGCAGTGAAGAGAACAAAGAATACCCGTTTCCGTGCTCAACTTTCAACTCCACGATACTTCCTGCTTTAGTGTATGAGCCAGAAATTTGGTTGCTGTGTGAGCAAGATGAAAGATCACTCAGCGTTATTGAAAGCACAGTCGAAAGGACGATGGTAGGAGTATCCCATGTCGCACAAATAAAGAAAAGGATCCGAAGCGCCGAAATGCATCAGCGACCAGAAATCAAAAATGCCATTCTATAAGCTAAACTGACGAAGATAAAGTGGGCCGGACATGTGATGTCAAACATGCTGCAGGAAGACCACCGACCCGGTGATCAGAGTTCTTCACGAAAAGCCTAAAAGAAAGGTATGATGCTCAACGAGTCCCTAGAGCGGGCAGAACCCCCTAGGCTACCATTGCACGTAACATGGAAAAATGGAAGATTCATTGGCAGCCGCTCGAGTCACTCGGCGACCAGCGGGCCGACAGGTGATGCTAAAGCGACGTAGATGGAAGCACGCAACTCGCCAGATCCAAAGTGACATGGGGGATATAAGTGATTTCACCTATACACCTAAGGCAACATGATCCATTCAATTATTTCTCATTAACATTCATTCGTGCTTTAAGGAAATTGCGATCGAATGCACTATCATCCTGAAGGATCCAATTGAGAGAAAATTTTGATCACTGTTTTGTTCATATTCAATGGAATGTTTCGACATTTAAAGTGAAAAGAAACGCTCAGATACCGAATTTTATGTGGATTTGCCAGAATATTGGTGGAATTTTTCTTCGCCCTTTTATAATCAGCGTGCATCTGATGAAGTGCAGGCATGATTAATAGCCCCGCTCCACATTCTGGTATACGATTTGAACTCTCATGTAAAATAAATATGCCAGATCTCGCATGTGTAAATGTAATTTCAGCACTGACTTCCTTTATTGCGGACAAAGATGACCAATGTGTTGGACTATCAATAAACTTCCTTCTTGGCACTATAGCCTTCTTTATAGCAAGTCGAATTCAGTGTTATCACCTTATGAACGCTTATCAGAAAAGCTGGACTTCAACGTAGATCATACAAAAACGTTGTTGTTTCTCTGTGGACAGGCCTCATCAAACGTATGACTTTTGGCAAGCCGGAGTTCGGAAAACACAAAACAGTGCAACTCAACTCTGGGAAACTCCAAACAAACCAACTCAATCCAGCTTGCGAAAACTCTTACGTTTGATGACGTCCGTTTACAGAGAAACAAGGTTTTCGTGGAGAATGATCTGCATTGAAGTTCAGAATTCCAAATATTTCGTACTCAGCTGGCTTGACGGTTATAGTAATCATAAGACGCAAATTATCAGCTTAACAGTAAGCCAGGATAACGCCATCCAGTTTTCTGACATTGGTTGTTTGGTGGTGAATTTCATTACGAAGGATAGAATGCATAGCTATTAATAGCGTGATGTTGCTCTATCAAAGCAAATCACGTCGAGCATCAATTCGTTGTTGAACTTACTATTTATAAGAGCAATAAGGATGTGTGCTTCATCTTAACAACACTGTTCATCTCAGAATCCAACTATTCTTATTTATGAATAGTGAATCGACAGCACATTTGTAGATGTTTTACTGTAGTGTTCCAAAGATCGAGTAAACATTTATTCCACCTATCAACACTTGATATGACATAGAATATCTGAAGTGAAATCAATAGGCTATTTACAAACAAAACCAGACAGATTGCGACCAGGCAGGAAACTTTGTATACACGCGATCAACAATGGGAGAGCGTTGGAGGGAGCGCCAGAGGGAGCAGAATGAGAAGTTGAGTAGAGAGAAATAAAGACATCAAAACCGGAGTAAACACAGTAAATAATCGCCAACATAGTGCATCATGGGCAACTGATGGCACAGACGACAGTGCAGAGAGAAACTGTAGTGAGCAACAATCAGAGTTGGGCCCGTGGTTTTTATAAACTACCGTACATCGAGCTTTTCGGAGCACAATTTTAGGTTCTGTTATTATAATTATGTTAAGCGTTAAGCAGTAGCAAGTAATTGATTCTCATTACTGCTACAAAAATCACGATTGTGAAACGAACCTTGCAGAAAAGCTAGTACGACACTTAAATGGGAAATACATTAAACTTTCGTTTCAGGACCCACATTTTCTGAACCTGACTGGAACGAGTCTCGCAGCCTTATCATCTGACGAGCTATAATACAGCCGTAGACCTTGTTGTACCACGTAGGACCGCGACCTCTGAAATTTGATATATAGGACGTAAGGCTTAACATATACACTGAACAAACACATCCATCATTTCATCCATGCTGGAAATTATTAGAATTACTAGGACAAAACAAGCAAGAACAAAACCCTTCACGGACTGAGTATAAGTGTGGGAATGTTTACGGGTATGAAAGATAAAAGGAGAAAGCTCTCAGCTTTGATTAATCCCTGAAGTATGCGGCACACACTGTACTTATTCAAGCACATCGTACGGGTCACCGATTGCTTATCTTGCCTATACAATGCTTTGTGGTGCTCTACCGATGTATCAAGTAACTGTCGTTATCTTCGCAGACAAGTCCGATACCAAAAACCCCAGAAGGGCGGCTTGGTGTGTTCGGGACGCATTATCGATCGAATGTCTACGTGTGGATTCTAGGTTACCTCTAACCACTGCACTACACGTGCCCATTTACAGGCATATCGAAAGCAGCTTCTCGAACTTGACTGAGAGTCTTCGATAAGTGGATGTCTAACCAACAATCAAGCACAAGAGATGACAAGTTTGGAACCTACCTAAGATCAACTCTTGAGATGTAGGTGACCCTAGAGCGTCCAGCTTTCGGCTCAATAAGGAATCGGCAGTCCAACACTTCCGCAGAAATGCCGCCGAGCAGTTGTGCCTCGCTGCACTGCACGCTTCGTTCAGTGATAGCACATGCTCCACGGATTTCAGAAAGATCGGAACGGTGGAAGCTGGAATTTGCAGTTGTTGAAAGGCGTTAATGAACTGCATTTCAAAACGCGAACCCAAGAGAAATTGTTGTTTATGTGGACAACAGAAATAACCTAACGATTCCCGAATATACTTGTGCTTTCTAGCATCCTTTTGGATTGGACCTAGTTGAACCCACACATAATGAATAAAATTTAGTTCTGTAGGGTCTTTTAATAAGGCAACCTACCGAGCAACGAAACAATCCCGTGTTGGGTGCCCGACGGTGTCGTTCAGCACGTACTGGTGCAAATCAGTGTCGGGAGCGTGTAGAACATCGACCGTTCTCCAATTCACAACCGATGCGTCCCAGACATTTCTATAATAGGCAGATTTAGTGATCACGTCAGTATCTTAAATTTGGTATTCGATATCCTTGAAACAAATGACGTCTAGTAGTCTTGGGTGAGACATTTTCTTTGACACCGAACTTTTTCGTTTTCGCTAGGCACTAAATAATAACAACAAGTTCTTTTCATATGACCCGTCATCACATCTACTCTGCGGATTCCAGCAATTCCTGCATTTAAATTTTTTGCATTTCGCATTCACTCTACATAACTGTCTTCGAACATTTGGTGTTGCTTCGGCTGTTGCCAGTGGACTTCGTCTTCTTTATGATCGCCAGCCTAGTCGGCAGACTCTCCTTGCAGTCTTGGAGATATCCGGGTCAGGCGCTCCCACGTCGATTGGAGGGAGGGTGGCTTTAGATAGGGTCGAATTAAGGGCTTTGTTTCCTGATCGCCGGCATCATTGACAACTGCGCCACCCACTCCACCTAACAGTGATAATAATAGTGGCAATAATAGTAATAACAATAATAATAATAACAATAATAAGCAACAACGAAAATAATAATAATAATAAATTAACAGAAGCAGAGTGATCAATTGTTAAGAAGTGTCTCTATTGATGGCTTATCGTTCTAGCATTCTAGAGAAATGTGGTGCCCGTTGGAAGATCACTTTCCGGTAATTGATTGAGTACTGCTCAACCTAAGAAGGAACACTGTATAAGCTAAATAGGCACCTACTAGGAAACAATTACTGCAAACAGCTTTTGTTGCACAGTTGAAAGGTTCTAGGCTTAATTTCCTGTGAGCCACAAGCAGGTCGACTAGAACGTTCTACTCGAATTATTTTAGGACTTCAGAGAATCAAATGGTTGAATAGATTACTGATGTGATCCGGCTTGAGTAACCTGATGGAGGACCAATGAAGCAACAAAGAACATGATCAAGCGAATAATTTTGGAATGGGAAAGCTCAAACTTATACGAACAAATCTTCGACACCTTTCACGCATAATCCGACTCATCACTTGCTTCGGTGGCGCTGCTACATCAATCCAAACACGGTACAACTTCAACGGGTGACAATCATTGGGGATTTTATGCGAGATCTCCACATCCTCATGAACTCCGTCGAAAATCCACGCCTTCCATTGCTCGGAATGCTCCTGAAACATAACTCGTACATAATGCTGAGATATTTGCAAAACTCCGGACCGCAGGTGTATGCGGTGGGAAACGAACACGCGCTGTTGTCCTTACCGGGGAGCAGCGCACTTCACCACCACACCATCCGGGTCCTTCGTTTTGCCTGTCTCTCAGCTAGTTCTATCGATCTTTTTGCCATCAGCAATCACCCGTCAACGGGATTGATCTGGGGAGCCCAAATCGGCATTGAACCCAGTTAAGCTGAGCTTTGGTTATAAACACAATCTTAACCCTTTTATTTACTGCCTTTTCTTTTTAATGGCATGGTATGTTGCGAAATATAACTCGTATATAATGCTGATATTTGCAAAACTCCGGACCGCAGGTGTATGCGGTGGGGAACGAGCACGCTCTGTTGTCCTTACCGGGGAGCAGCGCACTTCACCACCACACCATCCGGATCCTTCGTTTCGCCTGTCTCTCAGCTAGTTCTATCGATCGTTTCCCACCGCATACACCTGCGGTCCGGAGTTTTGCAAATATCTCAGCATTATATACGAGTTATATTTCGCAATATACCTTGCCATTAAAAAGAAAAAGGCAGTAAATAAAAGGGTTAAGCTCCTGAAACAATTCACACGGTATTTCCACAGAGAACAAAATCGAGTATTCATAACTACTAACTACTGTAAAATTGCATTTACACCGGTGTAAAGTATTGGTCCAAACTTCCTTAATCATTTTCCATTTCGAGCATCGGTTTGATTGGTTAATTATTGTTCTACTATGGCGTCGCTTCATAACAATGAACCGAAATGTGACTGTTTTTCTGTTTAGCACGTAATCAGCAGGAAAGCTGCACTTTTAATTAGCCAAAATCTACCTTAACCAGCTCCAAAACTTTGTCGATAAGGTATGCACGTGGACCTTTAAGACCAAGTTCTTTTAGCAAGGGAGCGTCATTGTTGGTGTGAGATCTGAAATTGCATGTACTCCCGTAACGTATAGTTGAAGTTCCAATGTTATCCATGAATCTCACTCGGAATCGAACCGCACTCACCTCTCCTCCGAAACTATTTCCGCGCAAACGAAAACTGTCCGACAGTGCTGAATTAAGTAGGTAAGACACTGCTGAGCCGCTCTCGTCTCACGCATTTCTTGTTCCGACGGCATCCCTGCAGCGCCGATTGTCTTGTGACGTCTGAAAGCAATCGCTGTTATCGTTATTGACCTCGATTCGCTTGGTCAATCTTTCTGCAGACCTAGTTGGTGTAACTTTGTCCAGACGAGAGGCACTGAGATGAAATAATGATGGAGTGAAGCATACAGCCAGATTTTGTGCTGGCATCTAAATTACCACTTCGCTATTAAAGAGCTCACTGTTTTCCAGGCATCATTCCATGATGGCGACAAAGTGTAAACAGCACACATAATTGTTCTTACACAGCATTTCAGACTTATCGAAAAAATTGGTAACATAGGCGTGCAAAAAACAATGATGTATCTCACGCTGTTGATATCTGCGTGTTTTGAGACATCGTATAGGAATAAGAGCAATGTTTGAAGAGCTTCTCGATTCTCATCGGGCAGAAGAAGAATCGCGTATTGTAAGGCGGCCAGTCTGAAGAACTTCTTGCACAAAAAAAGAAAGAGAAACAATTAAAAGAGAAACCGTTTTCCAAAGCGTCGAGAATTACATGAAAAATTTTGGCATAACTCAAGTACCTTTCATTTTCGGGAACATGGATAAAAATGTTAGCAAACGTCTCCGAAAGTCGAGCGGTCATCAACGGTTCTGGTAATTCTCTGAGATACTGCTTCAGCACATCGGCAACGTCATGAACCTGAATTCGTCACTACTGTAAAAACAAAATCAATACAATGTTAACCTTTTATTTGTTGCCTACTATAATTTTTACGGCAGGGTATGATGTGAGATACAAACATAATGATGCTGAGATATTCACAAAACTTAGATCTCAGGCCAGATCGAAGTTAACTAGGTCCAATGCCGATTTGTGCTCCCCAGACCAATTCCACTGACGGGCACTTGCTGATGGCAGCGTTAGGTAGAAAACTGGCTGAGAAAAAGGCAAAGCAAGGGCCTCAGTGGTGCAGTGTGTAGCGCCCGAGCCGAAAAGACTGTATGATGAACAGTTTGGCTCCAGAAATGAGTAAAAGGATACACAAGTGGCTGATACGTTACCGTAAACGTCGGAAACCGTGTTTCCTCGTACAGGAGACGAAAACCACTCAACTTTATTGAAGATGCAGTTAACACAGCGATGCTGGAAGTAATCCGAGATCAAATACCGGCGACACTGACATGATGCGTCTTAATGACAAGTGCAGAAGAGCCGTTAACGACCGGCTTCCATCGTTTGCCGAGGACACAGGGAGACCACAGAGCATACGGCCAGACTTCTTCACGAAGACCCCTAAATGACGCTTTTCGCGTTCTTTGAGAGGACGTTGTGTTGAATACTCTCGAAAATAGGCAAGAAGGGAGAATAGGTGATAGAGTGAGCAACTGCTAGAGACCTCGTATTATACAAGTTTAAGCCTAAAAAGTACCAAATTAACTAAATTTGGATAGGCCAAAACGTTTTACCACTTCTTGCCGGCCGGAGGATATTCCTGAGTACTGAACTGCAATGTATAACTGGTATACGCACCACCCAAGGCGCTTCTTACAACGAGAAGAGAGAAGAGACATTTCGATCCGGAAGCCCAGCTAAGCACAAATCGATCACTATCTACCTCCTAGTAGAAACGTGGGTACGCGGTAGCAAGCCTCCATTTAACTCATAAGAGCCGGCGACTGGCTCCAGTAACGACCTAAAAAAGTCAAGCACACCCACCACAGTATTGGTGGTAGGATATACCGAAGCAGGAAGATATTGGGAATATGCTAAGAATCTCTATTAGCAAATTGTTACTTAAATGGAAAATGTTTTATAGTGTATGCAATTCCTTGCGAAGACATCACATTCCGGTAATGAAGCATTTTAGGTAAATTTTCTATTATCAGTACGATATGAATGGATTGCCACCTGTCCCGGATCGAGACGATTCTCCTCGACGAAGACATCCACATCTGAATCGCGATCGCAAATAGTGCGCAGTTCGAGAATCCGCGACTTGACGCCATTTTTCCGAAATATTCCCACCGTATCGGGTGCCATTTGACGGAGAAAGCGCAGTATCTGAACACCTCTCGTTGTGAACACACAAAGAAATCGGGGTCTATCCACATTTAGTCGGATTCCAAACAAAACTTGACGACTCAGTGCATATAATTTTTCAAAAGTATACTAGCACAATTTCCAGGACATTTTGTTCGTAACAAGAATGAGAATAATCGTAGGAATTCATAATGATATATATCATTTCAGACTTCCAAGAATATTCTTTTCAGGTATGAAATGCTGAGATATTTGCAAAACTCCGGACCACAGGTGTATGCGGTGGGAAACGAACACGTGCTGTGGTCCTTACCGGGGAGCAGCGCACTTCACCACTACACCATCCGCGTCCTTCGCTTTGCGTGTATATCAGCTAGTTCCATCGATCTTTTTTGCCATCAGCAATCACCCGTCAACGGGGTTGATCTGGGGAGCCAATATCGGCATTGAACCCAGTTAAGCTGAGGCTTAGTTATAATCACAATCTTAACTCTTTTATTCACTGCCTTTTTCTTCTTAATGGCAGGTTATGTTGCGAAATATAACTCGTATGAAATGCTGAGATATTTGCAAAACTCCGGACCNGGTCCGGAGTTTTGCAAATATCTCAGCATTTCATACGAGTTATATTTCGCAACATAACCTGCCATTAAGAAGAAAAAAGCAGTAAATAAAAGAGTTAAGATTCTTTTCAGGAATAAACTTACTTGGATATTTGGATGGCTCGTCTACACTGGTTGTGCGGGCCCCAACATAATCATCATTATTCGGAGACTTGGCTGGTTAAGCCAATGCGGTTCCCCGGGATCCCGAGGTCAGTCTGGCCAAAGCCTGCTTCAGGTCTTCACCACCACAGGCAGCCGCAGCCCTTGTGGATCAGAGGGAGATTTGCCATCTATACGACTACTTTGGTACCAGGACTGTGACAGACCTTGGTATTGGTTTATTCTTAGGTGGGCTTCCTGACGGAAACGCCGGACTTCTTATCATCTTGGAAGACCCTACCAAGGAGATGAATCCCCTCACTATAATCTCAGTTTAACACATAGGAAGAACTCCCAGCCACGATGAGGCGGTAAACCGTTGGGAGGTTCAGGAATAAACAGTATCAAGAAATATCAACGCTTTGAAAACATGATTTCATAGCACTTTCGTACCAAAAAGATCTGGTATTTCGGACAGAGCTGATCGAGGACACATAAAATCAACGCTGTTATGGACGCAGAACTTACCAATGTACTCTACTACAGCAACAAAGGTCTAAAAAGCATCAGCGATACAATAATTAACTACTTGCTTTATTACTTAATAATGTTACCTCCAGAATTGTCCTTGGTAGACATAGTCCTAACCGCTTATAGATAGCTGCCAATGGTTGGCCGAACACGGATGCCACTTCGATGTCTAAATTTTACTACTAAAGTTTGGAATGTATCTGAACTATTCATTCCGTTCTCACGGTCATGTTGATACACGTTAGATGACGATCATATAACTAATTATAATCAAACAATTACCAGGGTACTTAGCAATGTAACTAACCTCTTCCGGTTTTCCCGTCCATTTGCTTGATCTTCCTGAAGAGCTTTTGCACTCTCCAATTCTTTACGACTCCATTTTGTACAGGTGAAGAATCTATAAGTAGATGGTTGGATTTGAAATTAGCCAGTAAATAGATGGCATAAACTAAGGATTCCTAGTTAAAAACACTGGTCCAATAATGTAGCAATTTAAAAGGCCCCGTTCCTCCTGTTGCGAAGGTTTCTCGGGTGCGTCATATACCAGTAACCTGTAGAGGATTCCATTAGATTTTGTCGATTACTCTATTTAGTGATGCTTAGGATCGCAGCAAACAGAACAGCTTTGACAATCGACTCGGATAAAGGCGGATCCAGTGAAGGCGCCGAAACGTTGACAGCGTGAATCACTTTTAAAGACCTTGTACTAATAATTCAAGAAAGTATTAATAAGACCCTTTAAAATTCAAGGTTTCAGATTTAATTTCTCCCAATAGCGGTACCACCTGGAAAACGTCTAAATGCTAATATGCGCGAATTACCAGCGTCACCTGGTCGCCACCATTCCCGTCACCAGAGAGCATTCGAAAACTAAACACCAGTGGCGCAAGTGAAGTTGTACTGGCGTTGTACATGCATACATGCAAAGGAAGCAGTTCCTATGTTCTACCTAGTTCAAATCCCATATGCGCATAAATTTCTTTTGTGCTGACAATGTCTTTTCCAGGAGATCGGACGACCACAAGTGTTACTTCAGCAGCAACAGATATCGGGCTGGGGCAGAGCTCATATTGTACATGATTCGGACAGTCCACTGCCTAATCACCATCTTTCCGGAGCCCTGCGAAATTCTCCTCGCGAAAAGCACCAGGCCAAAAAGCGTCTAACCGCTGTCTGGACGTTGAATCCAAGTGATCAATCGAAACGGTGCCTAGAAGGTGACTTCAGTAATACAAATCGCGGAATAAAGAAACACTTAAAGACATTTGACCTTATGCCCCGCTAAACTAATGAATCACTAATAGTTGCTTACTCTACAAGAATTATTAAGACTGTTTTCTGCGGCTGAGAAAATTTGTAGAACTTCCGGTGACAATGATTTTTCATTATAGCAGAAAATCGACAAGATTTTATTATCGATATCTAACATTTGTATTGCCTTTGCACTAATTTTTTAGAAAAAACTATGGACTATCAAGTTGCGAATCCGAAAAGTACTGGATTTAAAATGCAGGTACGAACCACTAATTTTCACTGAACTGTCCGAACCCGTCATATATTTCTCCAAGACGGCTGTGACACGGAGATATGAAAGTTTATTTAACCGAGCCTGAAAAAAAAGGAGACGATAGTTCTTCAAAAGCAAGAATATGAAGGGGAATAAGGATAAAAAAAGAACACTCTCAGTAATCATAATCAAGAGTTCCCAAAAGAAAAACTAGAAAAGACAATATGCACAGCTTAACACATTGACGACAAGGCCTATTTTCAGGTGGTTATCGCTAATTTTTCAATAATCAGTGTAATTGGACAGTCGAGAAGCCAATATACTCATAAAACAAGCGTTGCTGTAGCGCTATAATCCCAAGCGCGGAAACTGGAAAAGGGCAGCGACACAGTGTGGGACATCACGACATTTTGCCGTACGTTAACTAAATCGCTTCGCTACGCTAGCAGCGGACTTAAAGGTGAATAGTTGACCCTGTGGACTTCAAAAAGCTGAAATTTTAACGCTTGAGAACAAGAAAATGTGCACGTTTTGGCAAGGACCTGTATATTCCAATTATTTTCACCATAATTATAAATCTTACTATGAGATTAAAGGTAATAGGTTAAACTTAAAAGGCGGAATTATCTTCGGATATGAATGAGTCCTACATGGTCCATGTCGTCGTCAATGTGCTAAAAGACATTAAGTCTATTGGAAGTCCTACCAATTCCAGCACATTTAAAGAGTCAATACATTTGGTCAATTGAACATCCGTAAAGAACGCGTCATCGGACGAGCAGCTGAATAAGATGCATTAAGGGAAACAGAAAACAATAGAGGATATGTGGTTTAATTCACATGTTATAAACAATTGCCTTCGCATTTTACCCAATTGTCTGGGGCTCTTTGTAGCCATTTCACACCCAAAACAACTTTTATTACATAACTTAGAAGTGGAAGGTTAAAACGTTAACTTTTATTTACTGCCTACTACAATTTTCCACGATAGGGTTTTATGTGAAATACAATTACAATGAAGCTGAGATATTTGCGAAACTCAGGAAGCCAGGTCTTGCGGTGGAGATTGAACACGATATTACCCTTTTCGAGGGCTAATACGTTCACCGCGACGCCATAAAGGTTCTTCATTTCGCCTTTCTCTCAGCTGGTATCTTCACATAATACCATGCAGTGAAACATTGCAGTAGGTAGTGAATAAAAAGTCAACATTGCGATTTCGACTATACACTCAGTGAAATACAACCACAACGCCTGCGGTCCAGAGTTTTGCAAATATCTCAGCAACGTTGTGGTTGCATTTCGCTTAGTACCCTGCCGCGAAACTACAATAGGCAGAAAATAAAAAGGTATAACATTATACACTCAGTGTTGATGAGTGATTGCTAATGACACTGTTAAATAGAAAACTAGCTGAGAGAAAGGCTAAACGAAGGACCACATGGTGTGGTGGTGAACACGTTAGCCCCCGGAAATGGTAACAGCGTGTTCGATCCTCACTGCAGGCACTTGTGGTCCGGTGTTTTGCAAATATCTTAGTCTCATTGTGGTTAAAAGGTTAAAATTCGACTTGACGTATAGTCATATCTCACTAGTTTTCATAAAAATTTGAGTAAAAGTCTCTACAGGAAATGTAGAAAATTCGGAATTGTGTTAACTCAACTTGTTTACAATGTTTTAGAGTACTCTTCTGGCTACTTATACGGGTATATGATAGTTCCTTAAGTGATAAAATTTACTGGACCACGTAGCATTTTAGAAATAGCTCTCTTATTAGCTCCTGGTTTCGACTGCATCAACTGCCATAAGAAATATGCTTTTCTATTACTAAGAATTCACCTACACAAACAGCCACAAAATTATTTGAAAAAATTTTTAAAGAAAACAGTGCTTTACTACCTCGACATAATAGAGGACGACATCAGATTCCTATCAGCCGCGCGTCGTCTACTTTGCAGCGATCCGACATGGTTGGTGTTCAGGAAGAACGGAAAGGAATTTATTGAATATGGTAGTATTGACTGGCGAAGACGCTGTGAAGACGGACCACTGCAATGGGTAAGAATCGATCCTTGATGTGCTACATCATCAAAGAAACCAGTCGTGTTGATTGACAACGACAACGTTTCTGAACGAGTACACTCGTGCAACGAATGCGTTCTGAATGAAAGGACAACAGAACCTGGGTGATCTGGAAAGACTCGAGCCAACGCCTGAATCTCTTCGGTTGTGATTCATTGTTGTAGTGACAGATGACTGCTCCTCATCCGTGTTATCTAGGCTTGACTCGCTCTAAAAATACTTTTTATAATGATCAATAGAATACTTGAGTAGCCAAACAGTTGCTTTAATTGAATTTAATCTGGTTAGAAAACCTCGTAATAAAACAGTACCACCCTTTACAACTGTCGTTGCTTCAAATGTTTCTATTTCATAACATTACTACTACCACACTATTACATTATTGCCTATCTCAAAAATTTATTATTATTATTATTTGTTATTACTAGTGGTATTACCATTATTATTGTTATCAATACTATTATTACGATTATTACTAAGGGCGCATGTGGCGCAGTGGTCGAAGGCGTCTGCAACACACACGGGGATCAATCCCCGTGCTCATGGCCCATCAAGCTTTCCATCCTTCTGGGGTCGGCAAATTGGAACCAGACTTGTCTGGGATGATAGCAGCACTGGCTCGATACAGTGGTAGGCCATCGCGAGTCTTTGTAGAGGCCAGATATGCGTCCATTTTCCTCCAAACGATGTTAATGAAGTAGGACAGGCGGCGCATCCCTCTGGGATTGATCAACGCCAAAAGCTTCATCAACAGCTTCATTTATTCATTTATTATTATTGTTATTTATATAGATAGACGTATAGATGGAAAATCTAGTGGTTCCTGCTCAAATCACTCGGGGAATAACGAGACGTCAAGTGATACAGGTGGTTACTATTACTATTAATTACCCTGCATTTACATCAAAAGGGTGAAAATAATAGATTATTTGAACTGAACATAAGTATTAATTGAATGGTCAAACATCAACCCTAACTTTTACCGCTGCCTTCAATAATGGCTGACATAAAATCTGTAATACATACAAAATATAGCGAAAATATTATAACACTTCCCCATATTTTAATATTTCTATGGAATATTTCAGAGGCGGACAGCACAGTAGTAATGATGTCTGGCATCAAGAGCATAGTGCTAGTTCGATTCCGCTCCAGGCCAACCAAACCTTTCATCCCTCCGGGTTCGGGAAATTGGTTCCGGACTTGTCTGGGAAAAAATCACCCTGCAATCCATTTGGGAACGCTCCAGCCCTGCTATTTTAGAACTCCAGGAAAAATTGCTCGACCAGAATTCTACGACATTCAAGATGAAATCGAAATCCTCAAGCAGCTACCGAAGCCACATGTAAAAATTGGAATATCTTCACGAACACTGGATGCAAGGAAACGAGTCGTGTGAGAAGTGCTCATATCCGCGTAGTAGACGTGAAGACGGGTTATATAAAATAAAACAAAATAAAAAATGGAGCATTTCAATTGATAAGCACTGAAGGTCGGTTTCAAAAATTGGTAGTTACTTTATTGGCATGAGTGTCGACACATAGCTGTGGAACTCCACTCGAAATCGATGGCGATTCGGATCCAGGTAAATGGAGCCGAGATAATGACGCGTCAGGAGACACATCTAAAATGATGCGGATTGCAGGATATCAACAACAATAACAACTGTAAAAATAATAATAGTGACGATAATTGGATAAATACAATAAATGGAAGGAAAACGACTACGTTTTTCAAAAGTATAATGGCTCGTGTTAGTCATGCATAACGCTAAACGATTAGTAAGGGGTAGATTAATGATCACCATGCATGAAATAGCCATCTGGTTGTACGATAAGATTTCGCGCGACCACCGGTGGTGATTGAAAGGAACGGGTACTGTACGGGCTACTGTAGGTCGGTGACGAATAGCCGCCGCTACCGTAATAGGGCGAAATGCCACCGCCGTCGTAGCCGGACTGATGAACTGTACGACGATGTGGAAGCGATGGCTGAGCAGAAGCAGAGGTTCTGGAAGTACGCTTTCAAATAATGAACAGGAGCTACTGCAGAAGTTACTAAAAGATGCTAACGTAGAACACTGCTTAACACTTTAAGTTCAGACGGTGAAAAACTAAGTTATTCCAAATAATTATGGAATTCCACCTATTATAAATAAAACATCTGAGAGTCAACAACTTTCTGGGAGAAAGAAATTCACGGGATTCATAAATGGTTGAGTGGGTCTACGGAAATATTCAGCACGACGCTCAGGAAAAAGAGGACTCTTTTATAGATCCAATATAATACTTAGTGGTGGAAAGTTTGTATATTGTTAAATGTGTTTATTACATTAATGTTCAATAATCATATAAACTATACCTAGACATGCTGCCGGGGGATGCGATGTAAAGATACGTCTCACGTGGCGTTCGTTCTCTTTGCAGTCGTTCATGTGATGTATTGACGTTGGCTCGGTCGACTAGCTGAGGAGGAACTGAACGGTCACGTCTCGTGCTTGTAGACGTGCCCAGAGGGCGTCGATAACCAAATGACAAAAAGAAGTCGTCGGAAGAATCTGGCGATGATGGCGACAATATGACAAGACCCTGACGGCGAGCACTCCTGCTGCGGACACGATGATCGGTAATGGCCGAGATAGCGCTGGTGGCCGAGACATGACTACGAGCTGAATGTATGCATAGGTAAGTAGCTGCATTTGTTGCAAAAATGAAAAATACTGAAAACTGAAGATCAGGACCTGGATTGTACAAGATGTTAGTTGTCAAACACTGCACACCATTCCAGTTTTATTTAAGAAAATACACAGCTATATGGAAATACCCGTAAAGAATAATTGGCTCTATTTTTTCTCAAACTTCTAGCTCTAAGCAGCCAATGAAAGCTGTAGAAAAGGGAAAGAAAACGCCTAACTAAACTATCTAGACGCCAAGCTATCAAAGCTACCTAAAACCGTGATATATACATTTTTTTTAATACGGCTTCACAACGACTAGACCGTTTCCTTTGTTAACAGTTCTACATGAACGATCGCTTAAAAACTATCAACGCGATTTAATGTGCACGAACTTTTCTAGTAATTTCTTTCTGATTCTCTTGCTAACGCATGGCGACCAGGGTATCACAATGTCCTTCGCTTGCAACAAAGACCTGTTTGCCTTCACTGCTACTTCAAAAGTGTACCTGTTTCCACTGGTTTGTCGGTCAAAGTCTCAAATGTTACCTCAATATTAAGATCTCAGTCTTTGATGTTCTTATCCAATAAGAATAACTATTAAGGAGGTGAAATTCGCTTTGTTGGCACGGTGATTTGTAGACCTACATCCACTTCCCTTCCGCACTCGATTATGTTCCTTGCCTGTTGTAACATTGGCATAGCAAGTGGACTTCGACATTAACAAGCTCCCAAAACAAAGTCAGATCTCTACAAATCCCATTTGAAGTTTTAAAGGACAGTTTGTAATGACTAACAAACCTTAGGTATATCTCACGCACCATAAATTTAACAATAATATTCAGATCTCATGGCAAGTACTAGAGAAAATTAAATGGATCTAAATATTTCTATACCGTCAAGATTGCTTGGTCGTGGAATCATCCTCATTGTTTCGGGGCTAGCAGAGTCATAGGAAACCAATACAGGATCACCGATAACCATAGTTGTCGGGTCATGGTGTCTCGACTCCTTACGACGGCTAAAACACGCCAGTCGATTATAGATGCTGAGAGATGTGAGTATATAGAATGATATTAGCCAGTGACATTTTAGCAGTCAAAAGAGCCACTCTCGCTTGCTTTGCAGATGAAAATGAAGAGAACTACAACACACCGACTGCTCGACCTTAGATCTATTTTCTTCATAATAGCTCGTGCACGTTCTTTTATTCGTTCGCTATGTGAACGCTGCAGCTTGTTGTGGGCACTAAAAACGAAAACTGTCACATTTTAGACTTTTATTCGTAGATAAATGCTTACACGAACGTTAAATTTGGGGAATTATGCTAATTTTTGTTTCCATAGGTTTAACATCACACAATGTGAGGATGTCAGCACTTCTTTCAACCCGTTCGTTACCTCGAATCTGTAATCAAACAATGTTCTCGGATATGCGCGTGGCTTTCACTAACATCTGGATATGTTTTTCCTTCTTCATGAACGCCATTTAATTCTTGAAGAAGGGTGGATATTATATCCATATATCATGCCCATTATGGGTATGATATACAACTGCTTGTTCTAATTTCACAGCCGTGTCATTGATATATAAGAGATGTTGTGCGTTTGGAATAACTGCTAGAGGTTCCCTATAATACCTACATAGTTTCTGGCTCAAGTCCGCACTGGATAAACCAGACCAGTATTCACATGATATTCATGAAGAGTAGGAAGTCCTTAAGTCAAGCCAACATGCAAATCGGAACAACTTCATGATAATTGAAGGAAGACAACAGAATAGGGGACTGAAGTGCGGGGATTCACACCATATGGGAAGATGGAACATACAAAATAAAACAAAAAGGATACCAGATAACCTTCGTCGCTTAGCGAAAACAGTTCCTATTTGGAAGGATGAGGAACATGTTTTCTCGATCTTAATGTTTACAAACATTTCCTATGACAGCATACCATAGAACGATGCGAAAAATTGTCAAACAAGGGCTTTTCTATAACTTATATCGACAATTTTCTACTCGAATTAAAAAAAAAATAAAAACGTAAACGTTTGTATGTAAATTATATAACCCAAAGGTTTACCGCCTCAACGTGACTACGTGTTCCTGGATGCCGGGTTGAGATGTAGAACGGGGGGAATAATCCTCCCGGCAAGGTCTCCCAAGTTGAGGAGTCCAGCGTTTCTATCAAGAAGCCCAGCTAAGAGTAAACCAATACCAGGAACCATCACTGTCCTAGTATCAAACTAGTTGCATTGTGGCAAATCTCACCCTGATCCACAAGGTCTGCGGCAGCCTCTAGTGGTGACGACCTGGGAAAGACTTTGGCCAAGCTGACCTCGGAACTCCAGGGAAATACAACCGTTAAACCAGCAAAACTCCGAAAAAGTGGAACTGATGCTGAGGCCCGCACCATCAGTGAAGACGGGCTATCCAAGTATATATATATATATATATATATATATGTATATACATAAATGGATATGTATGTATATACATATACATATATACATACATATATATATGAGTACAAATAAATATATGAATACATACGAGCATATAATATAGTATATATATATATATGTATATATGAATTCATATAAACACATATATGTGTGTTCATGTGTTATGTGTTCATATATGTGTTCATATATATATGTTTCATATATGTGTTTATGTATATGTGTTGTGTTTTATATATGTTTCATATATGTGTTCATATTCACGAACGTCAGCTCATTCGTGAATAAAGAATAATAACACCTCGCGTTTGCTCAACTTCAAGCTCAAGAAAGTCGGTCGTGGGACATACATATGGGTTTCTGTTCAATGTTTGCCACCGTATTAACCCAAGATCGTTTTGTATGAAGGATTATTGTAGTTGAGTAAGACTGTCGTTTCAAGGCCTCGGATCACGTGTCGAGTGACTGCGTGATTGTATTTTATCGATGCGAACGATCAATAAACCGATTATCCATGCTAACTCACGCGTTTCCATTGCATCCGGCTCTGGTGTCGTATCCGTCTACAGGACGGTTGCTGTGCATTCCGTACCCGGTCCGCACCTCACAGCGTCGCGGTTCCAACTGATTCCGATACGAATCCCAATTCGGTTTCGGGCACACTATAACTACATTATGGTTTAGGAAACACATGTGACTTCCAATACTGAATTTCTTTGCAGAACCAAAACATCCTTCGTGCTAGAACTTGATGAATACATATAAATTGAAATATATGGTGATTGAGAAGTAGTTCCCTATTCTGACACACATAAGATTCATTCATATCTTGCAGCGGTTTTCTCAATTTTCTCCTTCGGTTCACGGTCCTATGAATGGGAACTAAATCTAAGTTCTTATCGATTAATTTGTTTTAAATGTAGAAGTCTGACAAACATGTCTGGATGTCATACCCTGCAGAAGTGTGCCCAGCCAGCTGCGCGTCATGAAGTCTGGAGATCCGCTGTTCAAATAGAAAGATGTGGAGGACGATTAGAGGAAGACATGTTTAAGTTGACGCAAAAGCGACTAAGAATAGTCATGTAGAACTCATGACCACAGGACTTACAACTTATACTCGAAGAAACGATTGCCTTTCCAAATCCAGTGACCCAGAGGTAGTGCAAGTTCCTCAAGAAACTCACATCTTCAAAAAACTCAGCTCACTATTTACCCATAACCCAAAAAGTCAATTCGACAAGCAACAAGGAAAAGTGGGCCTTTTTTTCAATGTGTGCGAACTATGTTTACGAAGGAGCAGATGTGGTGTGTTTGGAAGCCGTATTACTCTCAAGCACCCTCTGTTTAAGAGAGAGACATCAAGAATTCGGGTGATGCTGATCTCGAACGAGTTGAGTTGCTGGAGAATTCTGGCGTCCACATCGAATTTCAATGAAACTCCATGGCTTTCTTCACATAATCATTTCATGCAAAAGTTACAGTTAAGAAACAAATTATACGAATTTTAAAATAAGGACTTCCTTGCCAATCACCCTATAGGTAAAAAAATGCTCGAGTAAACGAGAAGCTCAACATCGTTCAACAACATCGAAAACCGTGTTTACTGTTTACTCCCTGACCAGTTCTCCCTGGCACGCCATACATTTGTTCATTTCCAACTCGGGACCACGTGTGAGAGTGACGTTGGTAGCGCCAATTACCCGAAAGTGCTATCTGAAACGAAACCTAAGTTAGAAAACGAGGAAAATACATATAAAAGTACCAATGCTCTTCATAGATTCTACGAAGTAGGCAGAGGCCTCGATACAAAGTGAGGAAACGTTTGGAATGCAGCCTTAACAGACTATTTTAGTACCAAGATTAGGATTAACCTTGGATGGGATCCGTATTAGATGAAAGGGACCATTTAGGAAAAAGTTATTTCGAGCTGTATTTTTAAAGTCCGGATTGTAAACGTTCATAGAAATCGAACGAAAACATATGAGCTAAAATTCTTTGTTCAATACACAGTCCTTAAATATTTCAAGAGCCATCTTGCATTTAATTTGCCATTTTTGTCTGATGAAGCTGTCAGTGAGCTCTGGTCGTTACGTAGAAAAAAAGACTGTCATCATTTTTCCATGAGGTCGAAGTTTTTAATAGACTGGAAATGAAGAATCTTGATATTATAAACCTGTTCGCAAGGAAACCTTTATCATTTAAAATAAGCAGCTACAGCTACGCCTTTTCACAGAGCAAAAAGCGACCAACTGCTCTAAACTCGAAGCTATGCAAAGGTATCACAAACATGAAGCATTCACACATTTTACTCCACCTCAGACTATTGAAAAACGAAATTCTTTTGTGAATTAACAAAAACCACGACGATGCTGAGATATTCGCAAAACTTGGAGCCCGGGTCAGATCGAACGAAGATTACCCTTTGCGGGGGCTCGCGTATACAGACGGCACCACTGGAGCCCTCGCTTTACGTTTCTCTCAGATAGTTTTCTACCTAACGCTTCAACCATCCGTCAGTGGGATTGATCTGGAAGGCACAAATCGGCATTGAACCCAGTCAAGATGAGGTTGTAGTCGAAATAACAATGTTAACCTTTCATTTGCTGCCTATTATAATTTTTACGGCAGGGCATGACGTGAAAACACCAGCATCACAGTGGTTGTATTTCACATCACACCCTGCAGTGAAAAATTATAGTAGGCGGCCAATAAAACACTAGCATTGTGAATTCATCAATAAAGAACAAAGCTCCCGGCGTTGATAAATCCGTGAAGGATGCGCCATGCATTCGACTTCATTAAGCATCGTCTGGAAGTGACTGAATGCATGAATGGCTTTTACAATGACTCGCGGTGGCTTACTGATCTGTCGAGCCAGTTCTACTAACCTCCCGGTTAAGTCTGGTACCAGCTTGCCGACTCCGGAGGGATAGAAGGCTTGGTGGGCCGAGGGCGCGCATATCGATCCCTTGTGTGTGCTGCACGAAGCCTCCGACCACTGCGCCACACGCGCCAATATGGATTCATTAATGCCCAAAAGTACTGACATAATCGCTACATTGTACATTGATTTCGATGCAAAATATATGTGTGATTTATCTTTGGACAATCGGACCTCATTTTAAAGTGAACTGTGTCAAACAAGAAACCGTAGAATCTGCAAACGTTTGCCAAGACGCCGAAAGTTTTCTTATTCTACCAGGATCAAATTCTTTTTTCTTTAATTGGAATTGGAATTCGAACACGGCAGTAATTGAACAAGCGGGATTTCGCTCAGCAGAATTCGATCAACCAAATGCATCTTTGATAATCGCGGCTGACGAGCTTACACTAAACACTTCAAAGCCTGACTTAGAACAGTGCCTTGTAAAAATGATGTGTACTGCTTGAGCATTAAGTAAAGTCTTTTCTACAAGTCAAACCCAGCATGGTTTTCGAATGTGTTAAAATTAACACGCAGTACTATCAGTGTCAAAAGAATTGTTATGTTGGTTTAAGTGGATCATGTCGAAGATCCTTGAAGACCATTGGCCGAAAAGTGGGAACAGAGTGATGATGAACTAAGCCATTAACGATTGAACAAGTAGAAAGATTCAATGTCGCTATTCCTTTCCAAGAAGTTTACCAATCAAGCTATGCAGACTGAATTTGATGGAAATATAATTTAAATTTACGCAGTTACATGACTTCACATTAGACGACTAATACCATCAGATGACCAATACAAATTCAACTTTTCAACACATTTCCAACGGTACTTATTTTGGTACTTATTTTGAGATGGGTGCTTATAGTTTGTTTTTCTTTTACAATGGAGCAGCGTGTAGCGCAATGGACAGTGGTGCCCTGAAGCCCTGACACCGCTGATTCGACCGACCTCGTGCCCAGCCAAGTAAGTCCCGCGGTTGCCAAATTGACATAAGAGTTGTGTAAAGAAGAATTAAAACTACAAGCATGTTGAGTCCAGAAACATAAATAAATAGTGATGAGTAAAGCTTCTATCAGAGGCCTTAAGGATCGAATACGTG